CAGTCTTGCAAGTGCAACTCCGAGCCCCGAGGATGTTCCACCGATGCATAAATCTTTGCTTTGAACTGCTTACCATACTGTTACTTGAAAGATGTCTACGGAGAGTCGGGTATGAGGAGACTACTGTGATTGGTCCAAGCTCGCCGATTATTTCTTAGATCGAACCCGGGTTCCCGAGCGCACGGCTCTTTCGCCTTCCAAAAAAAAACGGTGGTTCGTGAGGCCCTTGCAGTAGTTTGCATATCTGTCAAGTGTTCTGTCTGAGACAGCTTCAAGCGTGGGAAGAGCTTCCCAGAGACGAACTGTTGGAAGAGGTACAGAAATGGAAGGGGGAAGTCGCATCGGACCTTCATCAAGTCCCGGGTCTATGGAAGACTCAGAATTTCACTTCAACTCGTCATCAGAACTTTTTATGGTTTTTCATTTCGGTCTCGCCGTCGCGAAAGAAACAATCTCATCATGGTAGCTCTCAGCTCGTTTTAATTCTCGGACCTCCACTTACACGGCCTATCGACAGCAGTGCCTCGTTTCGATTTGCTGCATGCACATTGCCGTTCAGAGGGAAAACGAGATAGGGCAAAAGAAGAGGCCCAAGAACCCAGAGAAAAGGACGTCCGTCTCCTTGAAGCACGAGGTCAGACCTTCTGACGTCAAAACATCAGTGGGACAAAATAAGTGATCAGAATGAAATGAAGCAAGCAGGAAAGCATCCGGATGGACGGATTTCTCACACCCCCAAAAGTAACCTTGAATTTCCTTCTCCTGTCAAAGTCTGGAAGGAAACTGTCAGACTAACACGGAAGAAAAAAGGGGCACTAATCTAGGACGGAAAGCCTCTTCGCACGACATCGACATCTATACGCCGTAACAGAAGATCAAGCTCAAGAGGCACGACGACAACACCTACGAAGGGTGGTGCCAAACAATGGCGAAGATTCCAGTCCGAACCGACGAGATCACCTCGACGACGGGTACACAGGCTCCAGTGCGAAAGCCAAAGTTTGCGGATTATCTCAGGGTCTTCACCTACGCGACAAAATGGGACTTCTTCGTCTACGTGATTGCGGCGTTTGCGTCCATCGCGGCGGGCGTGACGCTGCCGCTGATGAACATCATCTTTGGCCAGCTCGTCGGTCAGTTCACGGGCTACTTTGCCAACGGCTCGACCGTTACCACGGCACAGTTTGAGAGCCTCCTGAACCGCCAGGCTCTGTACATCACGGCTCTCTTCCTCGGCCGATGGTTCCTCAACGCCATCAACAAGTTCTGCTTCCGCATGATTGGCATCCGGCTCTCATCCGCTATTCGCCTGCACTACCTCCGCTCGCTGTTTGACCAGTCGATCCACGTCATTGACTCGATGCCTCCCGGCGCCGCCGCGACGGCTATCACGGGCACATCTGCCACCTTGCAAATCGGCATCTCTGATCGTCTGGGGACATTCTTGCAGTTCAACGGCACGATCTGGGCCGCCCTGGTCATTGCCTTTATTTGGAGCTGGGATCTCACCTTGGTCACTTCCTCGCTGATCCTGTACATTCTCCTGGTTTTGTCCTTCTGCTTGCCGGTAATTGTTAAGGGTGAGACCGCAACAACCGAAGCTGATGCTCAGGGTACCGCCATCGCCAGCGAGGCTCTCGGAGGAGTGCGGTTGGTTATGGCCTGTGGTGCTCAGAAGCACATCATTTCTCGCTACGAGGAATGGGTGCACGAAGCCAGGAGGCGGGCTCAGAAAACTGCTCCAGTTGTCGCAATTCAATTCGGCCTCATCGTACGTCCTCCCCTGTTCAGATAAGTTCCCAAACCGTAAGCGAGAGCTAACATGAATTCAGTTCTTCGGTGTATTCGGCGCCTTCGGCCTAGCTTTCTGGTATGGCACTCAGAGATACATCGCCGGCGCCCTCAGCGATGCCGGCGTGGTCGTTGTGGTGCTCATGTCAGTTATGATGATTCTGACTTCATTGGAGAGAATTTCAACGCCGGTAATCGCTGTCAGCAAGGCCATGGTCGCGGCCTGTGAGCTCTTCACGGTTATTGACGCTCCTTTGCCGCCTACTGGCACTCTGAAGCCGGAAATAGATGCAGAGGACATTGTCTTCGAGGACGTGACATTTGAATATCCCAGCCGAGCCGGCGTCAAAGTTCTCAACTCACTGAGTTTCCGCATCCAGCCAGGTCAAAACATCGCCCTCGTCGGCCCATCTGGATCAGGCAAGAGCACCATCGTCGGCTTGCTGGAGCGGTGGTATAGTTTGAGGGAGCAGCACGCCTTGCCCCGAGTCGTTGAGGACTCGGCGTCCGAGAAGCCGGGAGCTGAGAGGGTTGAGAGCGTCACCGATGAATCCAAATCGCTCATTCGGCCCGACTTGTCCGGCTCAATTACCGTTGGCGGCGTGAACCTGGAAGATCTTGACCTCAAGTGGTGGAGATCGCAAGTTGGTCTGGTCCAGCAGGAGCCTTTCCTATTCAACAACACCATTTTCAGTAACGTCGCAAACGGTCTCATTGGTACCGAGTGGGAGAAGGAGCCTGAGACGGTGAAGCGGGAGCTTGTTCGTGACGCATGCCAGGAATCATACGCCCACGAGTTTATCAGCCGACTACCTGATGTGAGTCCATCGCTGCTGTCTCTCCCCTTCGGTTGATTGCGCTGGTGAACATCTGGACTGACTTTGGACTTTTTTAACAGGGCTATGATACGCGAGTTGGTGACGGCGGAGCGAAGCTTTCAGGTGGTCAAAAACAACGCCTTGCCATTGCCAGAAGTATCATCAAGAAGCCGCGCATCATCATCCTCGACGAAGCGACCAGTGCTATCGATGCCAAGAGCGAAAAAATAGTGCAGGCAGCACTCGACAGAGTGACGCAGGGTCGAACTACCATCACCATCGCCCATCGGCTTTCAACAATCAAGAAAGCCGACAACATCGTGGTATTACAGAAGGGCCAGGCGGTCGAGCAAGGAACACATCAAAGCCTCCTGAGCGACCCATCCAGCGTCTACAGCTCCCTCGTCAGGGCTCAAGCATTGAACTTGTCAACACCCGGAAAGTCATTGTCCGAGGCATCCACCTCTGGGCTAGATTCGGAAACAGAGGAGAAGGTCAATGGTCATGAACACTTCAGGAGTGCTGCCTTTACCGACACTGCCGAGGGCGATTCATCTCACGAGCCTCGAGGCCTAGTCCGTAGCTTTGGCAAACTTCTCTTTGAGAGGCGCGCAAAGTGGACGTCGTATGCTGCCGTCATCTTATCTTGCATGGCGACCGCGGCCGGCACGCCGATACAAGCATGGCTGTTTTCCAAAGTCATTGCCGTCTTTTTACTGTCTGGCGACGAGCTGAGGAGGCAGGCGAGCTTTTGGGGTCTGATGTGGCTCGCCCTCGCCGGGGGCGTCGGTCTCGCGTACGTCGCCCAGGGCTGGGTAGGCCTGCGGCTGCAGTACTTTGTCAGCGCCGAGTACAAGAGGCAATATCTGACCGACATGCTTCACCAGAAGATTAGCTTTTTCGACCAGGATAAGAATTCCCACGGCGCCCTGAGCGCCAGAGTCTCGGGCGACGCGAAGCTGCTGGAGGAACTCCTCGGGCTGAACCTGGCCATGTTACTCTCTGGTGTCTTTACCGTTCTCGGATGCGTCATTATTGCTCTCATCTTTGGCTGGAAGCTCGGTCTGGTTGCCATGTTCATCACCATGCCTATCATGTTGGGCGCAGGTCTCTGGAAGTACAGGCACGAGGTCCAGTTCGACAAGATGAACATGGCTGTTTTCGGAGAGAGCTCGCAGTTTGCCACCGAAGCCATTGGAGCAATCAGGACGGTCTCTTCCCTCGGTATGGAGTCCACCATCAACGCAAGGTACGAGAAGCTCCTCAACGGTCACATACTCGAGGCCCGCCGTAAAGCACAGTGGACAGCTGCGTTGTATGGATTTGCCGACAGTGTGAGTCTCGGTTGCCAGGCGTTGGTGTTCTACTACGGTGGCAGGCTCCTTGCTACTGGCGAATACTCCATGGAGTCATTCTTCGTCTGTTTCATGGCCATCATCCAGGGCGCCGAGGCGGCGAGTCAAACGTTGGCTGTGGCACCCAGCGCTGCGCAGGCAGCCGCAGCCGCAGATCGAATTCTTGACGTCCGGGAGTCGGCAGACGTCGGTCAGAGTGCGACGAGGGGGGTTGAAGACATTGCCGAGTCGGAGGGTGGCGTGCGGATCGAACTGCAGGATGTCCATTTCAAGTACCCTACGCGCGATGTCGTCGTTTTCGAGGGCTTGAACTTGACGATTGAGAAAGGTCAATATGCAGCCTTTGTTGGACCCTCGGGATGCGGTAAGACGACAATCATTTCGCTGTTGGAACGCTTCTACGACCTAAACCGCAACCACGGTTCGATCCTCTGCAACGGCGTCGATATCAATGAGCTAGACGTCTACGACTACCGCCGGAACCTCTCTCTGGTTCCCCAAGAACCCATCATGTTCCGAGGCACGGTCCGCGACAACATCCTCTTCGGCATCGACGACCCAACCGCCATCTCGGACGAGAGGATCCACGAGGTCTGTATCGACGCCTTTATCCACGACTTTATCATCTCGCTGCCTGAAGGATACGATACCGACGTTGGTGCAAAGGGCGTGAGCATGTCCGGCGGCCAGAAGCAGCGCATCGCCATCGCGCGCGCCCTTATCCGCAATCCAAAGCTCCTGCTCTTGGACGAGGCCACGTCGGCACTCGACTCCGAGTCGGAGAAGATTGTGCAGGCGGCTTTTGAGAGGGCGCGCGACGGCCGCACCGTCGTCGCTGTGGCCCACCGGCTGTCGACGATTCAAAACGCCGACGTGATTTTCGTGTTTAGCGAGGGGCGGGTGGTAGAGAAGGGAAGCCACAACGAGCTCATTAGGAAACAGGGCGTGTACTGGGAAATGGTGAGTTGCCTTGTGCTCAGGTCTACCTGATCTGACTTTGATCTTGATCTTGCTTTGCTAACATATTTCGCAACAGTGTCAAAGTCAGGCATTGGACCAATAGTTTCGGTCCACAGTGGGAGCGAGGCGTGGGAACACTCATAGTTGGAAGTAAACGAAGTGAGAATATGTGGAGGTCTTGAGCAGAAATCATACTCATCAAACAGGCAGCGTGGTGTAAATGTACTATTGTTTTATTCAATTTCATTACCGGGGGTATCAAACTAGCATATTTAGAGACGTCACTTGAATCGCATCTAGAAACATATCTCTCTTCCAACCTCTCAGCACGGCCTGCCAATTGGTAATCTCGAGTCCATGTCACCCTGAGCCACGGCATTAAACAGGTCCAAGATGAGCAGTCCGCTATGTATCGTGAGAGGTTGCCGCTTCCACTGGGCCTCCCCGCCGTCTCTGGGGATATCGGCTGCCTCTTCCACCAGCTGCCATTTCTCCGCCGCCTCGTCTTTCTCCATGTACCGCAGCACGATGCGATCGCCGCTATCCTCAAAAACGAACTCGCGGCGCCAGAGCCGCCGCCACTGTTCGTCGGGCGTGCCCACCGCGTTCACCCGCTCGACGTGACGATTCCTTAGGGCCAGGGCGTACAGAGCGCGGATGCTCCATATACCGTCTTGGCCCGGGTACTCCTTCAGGATCCACATGGCCTCGTCACGCACGAGGGGGTCGCGGCAGAAGAGCGATATGACGAGCAGACACCAGCTCAGGCTACACTGCAGCGACAGGTGGTGGGCCGGGTTCGTCTGGAACTCCTTCTTGGCAGCCCTCGTGGCGATGTGCGCGAGGGAAATGTACTCGCGGTACAGCGGCGTTATAGCCCGGGCGCTCTTGTCTTCTATGAAGGCCGGCGCGTTGCTGAAGATGTAGACGCCCATGAACTCGATGCGCAGGAGAATGGCGCGGAGGTAGGTGGGGGATCCGACGTCGACTTGCATGATTTGGTTAAAGAGGGGTTGGAAGCCTGTGTTGAGCTTGACCATGGACTTGTGGAAGTTTTCGCAGAAGCTAACGATCCGAGGATTCCCAAAGAGCTCAAAGTGGAGCTTGTTGATGGTGACGTCGTCGTCGGCGCCGCGGAGGCCAGAGGTTTTGAATACGTCCTCCATGACGGCGCCCATGGCGGCTTGGTGACGCCGCATGGCTGGCCATATCTGCTCAAACTGCTCGAGGGTGTCAAAGGAGTCGGGATACGAATCTGGTGAGTTGGCGGCTTCGCTCTGCGTCTGGTTGAGGAGCATCATGAAGGTCTCCATGGTCTGCTTTGTACTCCGCAGGCGCCTTGCGAGATTTGGGAGGGGCGGACCGTCGATGATACGACCCCTGAAGACGGTGCGGGCCTGCTTTGCTAGGTGGTTGAAGACATCTGCCACGGCGCCGATGACGGGCTTCGGGTTGGGGGCCAGATCGGCGAGACGATGGTGAGCGTCTGTGTCTGTCACGATGGCGAGAAGTAGGGACAGGGCGTGGTTGACGTGGTCGAGGGCGGCTTTTCTGTTGCCCCTGAGAGTCTCAAAGAAGAGGAGGAGGACGGATAGGAAGACAGCGTCCTGAGCGGAGGCCCGTCGGCACTGCATCTTGAGAGAGTCGCAGTAGTGAGCCACAGCCTGGAAGTAATGGGTGTCCCCTTGGGCGATGGGTTGGTCGGGTACGGCGATGGCATGAAGAGAGACGTGGGCGGACTGGCGATACCACACGCTCAAGGCACCGATGGCCATGGCGGCGGAGCGGAGTGTGCCATTGTTGCGGGACAACTGGGGCAGCATGACTTCCCATAGGTCGCCGGTAGAGACAGCTCTCATCCAGGGGCCTCGAACCAGGCCGACGAATTCCTGGAAGTAGGACATGCTGTTGTCATCGCGGAAGTCGGTCGTGTTGGTGTTCAGTTTCGTCTGCGCCGTGGGTGATGCCGCTGCACGGGGGATGATGGCCTGGGTGGAATCCCAACACAGCTCTGCGGGCCCCGAAGACTTTTTGTTCTTCTTCTGATCCGGGAGATAACCTTCACATTGACCCCGGGTTTGGAGGCAGTTGCCACAATGTGGTTTGGATTCGTCACATTTGATGTGGCGTTTCTTACATGTAATGCATCCAGTGCGTACTTTACGTGTGCTTGTACGCGATAGCTTCACTTTGGTCACACGGACGGCTGGCGTTGGCTCGGGGGCCGTGTTAGAGTCTGAGGTAATGGACCTGAGAATGTCAGTTGACTTCTTATGACTGATGCCGATGCTTTCATTCCACTTCTTACCCTCGTGGGCTGACGGGTAGTAATGCCTTGTATTCTGCCATGGCGATACGTCCCCACGACAAGCGTTGGGTGGCATCTTTTGAGAACGTATCCGTAAGGCGAGTAATTATCTGCCAACACCTTATGATGACAACGTGAAGTTGCCTAGTTCCTTGTCCCACTTTTACCCGTCTGACGACGTTCGGTGACTTTATCGACCGAGCCGCCAGATGTCGCCAGATGTGTCTCCGAGCTGCCAACTGTCCATCAAGAGAAGCCAAAATCCAGTCGCCTCTCACATTTAACGCTTTGCTATCCGTTTCCGATTCGGCGATGCCCATCTCATTTAGCTAAGTGGGGGCAGTGCAGAATAAATGCGATGGCATTGAGCATTGAAATCCATTCTAATGGTTCTGTCATACCTTAGAAGTAGGTATTGTGTCTTGCAGGTAGCACTTACAACCTTGCCTCGCAAAGACGTAACGATGCGACAAAAGCCGAGGCCAATGCTGGTATTCGTACACTGGAACTGCAATGTCAGAAATTTCTGAACAGAGTGGGAGGAGAATGTCGGGTCTTCTTTGCCGGAATGTTCAATGAAAAGAAACGTGATGGACTTTGCAGCATTAAGGTCCAGGAATGCAGTCAGAATCAGCCCCGGCGTCTACTACCCAGAGCCCCTGCATAGTAGGCGGGGAAGCAGGCGCTTTGCTTGCATTGGTACCTGCAGATGTCACGCTGCTTCCCTGCTCTGTGGCTTTTCCTTCCAGTACTCAAGACTTCTTTCCGTCGTCAATATTTCCTCAGCCGGCGTCTCCTGCAGCAGTATGCTTTCTTCCAAGGCATAAATGCCCGAGTTTCGCTCTTGCTCGGTTTGTGGGCAATGGTCGACAGCACAGCGCCACTGCGTCAACACGTCGGAACGGGAAGAACAACGTGGGAGGGTTGCTGATCATTGCAACACGAGGATAGATAGATTGGCGGGATTGACGACTAACGATTGACACATCAAACGTATCACTCGTATTCTTTTGCAGAATAACCCCGCGAACAAACGGCACCAAAACAACTCGGTAAACAGTGGTGAGTGACAGACAGTGTGATGGCCCGAATGCTGAATGGAATGTCCCGCATACAGGTGGAGTGTTTGTGTTGGTCACCGGGAGGGGCATCGATGATCGTGGTTGCTGGAAAATACGGGGGAGGGGCGTCACGGCCTGGCCGGACGACAGCGACAGGGGCATGGAAGTAGGAAATAGTGGGTGTGGACAGCTTAATATGGCAAGCCAGCAGGGACCCGGCCGTTCCAGTTGGGAGCAATTGGAAGCCCGGGACGCCGGTAAAATGGGATGGCAGCCGTGATTGGGTCGGTGTTTCGACCAGGCCTGCCCCAAATGCCTTGCCCTGCACCCGGCGTGACCTCATCGCCACCATCGTTCCAGGGGCAAGACCATACCTTATAGCACCTTTCTTATGGTGCTAAAGTTGTTGTGGACGAAGTAAAGAATACGGGCCACACCAGTGACCTCACCTTGGCTCGTTCCTGCATGCGAGTTGTGTTGTTGTTTTGATGGAGGTAGGGGATGAGGAAGAGACACACTAGTGCTGTCAAGTTGGTGTGGTGGCACCACTCAACTGGCTTCTTTACTTGCCTCTTTCAGACTTTTACACCCGTGCCATCCTTCAAGGTTCTTCTTGTTGAGAGTGTAGCATGCGTAGGAAACCCCAAAGAGCGGAAGAGAGCTTTCCAAAGGGGAGAGACGGGGAAGTCCAAGGAACAGGGAACCCTGCAAGACACCCAGCTTCCCAAGCTTGTGATGTGATCTGATCAAGCATACCTCCTAGGCACCTACTGTCTGGGGAATCCCTCCTTACCTGCTCTGCCCTACACCGTCACTTACTTTTTCCCTTTTCTATCTTTTCATCGCCCGGCCGGACTTCATCACTCTTCTTCCTCCTTACCTTCACTGTCACTCACGATACCTTACCTGGCCCTCATCCTTCTCTATACCTACGGGACTCTGGGACAATCTCACCAATCCGTCTCTCGTTTTGGAACACCTTGGACCTACCTGCCTGCCTCTTTCATATTTACTCGTAGTCAACACTCCGTACTCCTCCCAGAGTGCCCGGTCTCTGCTCCAACTGTAAATTTGGATCTTGCTGCCAACCCTCAACCGAAACCGAACTCCACACAACTCTCATCATTTTGCCCACCTCGCATCACATCGTCACCGTTGTAACACATCAGGACCTCCTTCAGCGTTGCAAAAATGCGCGCCTCTCTGAGCTTGGCGGCTGTGTATGCCGCAGCCACGGCCAGCGCCTTTCAGGGCTTCAACTACGGATCTACCTTCACCGACGGTAAAGCAAAGGCACAGTCAGACTTCGAATCCGAGTTCAAGACCGCAGCTAGCCTCGAGGGCACCAATGGCGCCTTCACGTCCGCTCGTCTCTACACCATGGTCCAGGGAGGAAGCACTAACGATATCATCTCTGCTATTCCCGCCGCCATCTCCACAAAGACGACTCTTCTGCTCGGTCTGTGGGCCTCCGCCGGTGATGCTGCTTTCGCCAACGAGCTTGAGGCACTGAAGAAGACTGTCTCGCAGTATGGCAGTCAGCTGAATGGCCTGATTGCTGGTATCTCCGTCGGTAGCGAAGACCTCTACCGCCACTCGCCTACCGGTATCGCCAATGGCGAATTCTCTGGCGCCGAACCCAGCACTCTCGTCAAGTACTTTGAACAAGTCCGAGAGATCATCAAGAACTCGCCCCTGAGCAGTGCTCCTATCGGTCACGTCGACACATGGACCGCCTGGGTTAATGGCAGCAACAAGGCGGTCATCGACGCCTGCGACTGGATTGGAATGGACGCTTACCCCTACTTCGAGGACACCAAGCCCAACTCCATTTCTGATAGCAAGGACCGCTGGGCCGAAGCTTTGGCTGCCACCCAGGGAGCTGTTGGTGGAAAGCCCGTTTGGGTCGCTGAGACTGGTTGGCCCGTCAGCGGCAAGACTGTTGGTGCTGCCGTCCCATCTCTCGAGAACGCAAAGAAATTCTGGAATGACGTCGGCTGCCCCATGTTCGGCAAGACAAATGTCTGGTGGTACACATTCCAGGACTCTTCTCCAACAACACCCAACCCCAGCTTCGGTGTTATTGGCTCGACCTTGACCACCAAGCCTCTCTACGACCTTTCATGTGACAGTGTCAGCTCCAGTTCATCCGCATCGGCCTCAGCCTCCTCTACGAACACTGCGTCTGCTAGTGCGTCTACCCAGGCCAGCAGCGCAGTCTCGGCATCTGCTACTGCAACGTCTACTGCTACAGGAGGCGGATCCGGTGGTTCAGGTTCAAGCCAGCAGAGCTCTGACGCTGGTACCGCTACCACTCTCTCGACTGTGGTGCCTACTGATGGTGGCTCAGGTGGAAGCGGTGGTGGAAGTGCCACTGCTACCGGCACTGCTACAGACGGTGCTTCACCTTCTGCTTCTGAGAGCTCCGGCTCCGGCTCCGGAGGAGGTTCCGGCGGAGGTTCCGGCACTGGTCACCCCGGTACTAATGGCACCGTCAGCGTTCCAACGACGGCACCAACGGTTGTCCCTGGTAGCAGTGCAACCACAACGACCTTCAGCATTGTTGTTCTGGCTGGAGCGATTGTTCTCGCCATGTTGTAAGGCAGTTGTGACGAGGAGAAGTGGAACTGATCTCAGCATGATCATTATTGACCTTGTAATATTGTAATGGTTATTCGGGTTGACTTGGAACGTGGGGGGCGTGCACTTGGGAGGCAGAAGTGGTCTGGAAGGTCGACCTCTTACGGTTGAGCAGTAACTCTTAGGTCTTACATGGCTTTGGCTCTTCAAGCACGTGGGCAAACCTTGGATAATGAGTTGGATGGGAGTGCCTACGCAACCTTGAGGCGATGAGAGTCGCCCTAGACGGAGTAGTCATTACGAATGAATGCCTAAAAAAGTTTCTGATGTTTAAATCTGAGCGGTGACTCTACCTTCTCTTGTATGGCTGTCGGTGCCACGTACTCAGCCCACGAAGGCAATGCAAGTAATGGCACACAGACACCAGTGTCTTGATCATATCAGTCATGAATTGTGCCGAGATCATCTATAGTTACGCATCGGTTTCATGGACTGGACCAAGTAAAGCAGGTAGAAAGAGCACAGCACATTCTTTCATAAGTGGCATTATACAGTGGTGATACACAACTCATATGATACAGTTTTCTTTCTTCTCCTTTACTCGTCGAGTAATCCCACAGTCCAGTGGACAATCCGATCAACACCCTGGCCATTGATAGCACTGATGGGAATAGCGGTAACATTCTCCGTCCACGCGTTCTCGATCCCGCTCGGGTGCGGTGTGGTCCCTTGCTTAATCTCATCGAGGTATGTCTTGAGCTCCCTGAAATTGTCCTGCGTCTCGGGGAGGTCGGCCTTGGTGGCGACCACGTACCACGGCTTAGCCGCGATGTGCAGGCCCGACTCCTGCCGGGGCGCCGGCGGGGCGTCAGCCACCATCATGGTGCCAGTGCCGTGCGTGCCCCGCAGAGCGGCCTCGCTGCTGGTGCCCGAGTTGAGGTCCCAGTCGACGCGGGCGTCAATCTCGCGTGCGCGCTCTTCCTCCTCGCGCATCTGCGCGTAGAGGCCGACTTCGTTCCAGAGAGCCTTGAGAGCTTTCACGGCGGGGCCGGCGGAGAGGTCGACGACGAAGGCGAGCACGCCGGCGCGTTCGACGTGGCGCAGGAAAGCAATGCCGAGGCCGCGGTCTAGGTGGGCTCCCTCGATGAGACCCGGGATGTCGGCGACGGTGAACCGGGTCCGCTGCTCGACCAGGACCTCCTCCGCGCCGGGTTGTCCGCCGCCGTACGCGGGGTCGGCGGCCGGGTACCGCTTGTAGCTCTTGATTACGGGCCGTCCCTTGTAGCTGTCTAGCACGACGGTGCCGATGTTTGGCTGCAGCGTCGTGAAGGCCCAGTTGCCGACGCGCGTGCGCGAGTTGGTGATGGCGCGTAGCAGAGTACTCTTACCGGCGTTGGGCAGTCCTACGAGCCCGACGTCGGCGAGGAGCTTGAGCTCGAGCTCAATCTCCATGGTCACGGCGCGCTCGCCCTTTGTGGCGAAGATGGGCCGCGGAAACTCGCGCGACGTAAAGTGCGGGTTGCCGAGCCCGCCGATGCCACCGACAGCGAGCAGGATGGGCTGCGGAGACGGGCGCGACAGGTCGAGCTGGATCGGACCAGGTGGCTGGTGGTAGAGACGTGTGCGCGTAGGAGCTTTGGGTAGGGATATCGTCTTCAGATCCGACTTGGAGAGGCCGGGGTACAGAAGAAACTTGTTGCGATCCGGGTCTTCGGGCTCGTCAAATCCATCCTCGGCCTGCTTTTTCGCCTTCGCCTCCCTTTCCGCCGCCATCTCTTCATCCTCCTCTTCAATTCCCTCCTCCAACTCCCGCCTGGCCTGCTCCGCCAACTCAGCCTGACGGGCCAATTTGGCCCGTTTCTCGGCCTTCCTTTGCGCCTTCATGGCGCGCTGCATTATCGCATCCTCAGCAATGGGGTCCTCCCGGCTCAGCTCACGGACGACAGTACCAACTGGTACAGTGATGATGACGTCGTCGCCTCGCTGACCACCCTTGGAGCTGCCCTGACCAGACTTTCCCTTTCCTGCGCGAATGAATCGCCGCCTGGCTAATTTGTGCAGTGAGGTCTCGCCGTGTACAGCCTGGATGTAGATGTTGCCTCCATGACCACCATCGCCGCCATTGGGGGGTCCGTCGGGAAGGTATGCGTCGCGGAAGAAGGAGATGCAGCCGTGGCCACCAGGGCCTGCGTAGAGGGTTACTGAGGCTTTGTCGGCGAAGATGGGCTGGGAATAGTCGTCGGGAGCTGGGTTAAGTCTGGTGGATTTCGATTCTTGGGCTACCTGGCTGGAGCTATGGCGGCGACTTGCGACTGCTCTCGCAGCGAGACGAGGTGCAGCGGTACTCTTGGAAAGAAATAACGAAGGGTACAGAAACGGGAGCAACACCGCATGTCCGCCCGAACATCTTGTCGCCATGTTTCGTTTCTCGTTCGGCACCAGATGATGCCGGTCGTTGTCGCCGTCGTTATGGTCGTCGCCGGGTGCCTGTGACTCGGTGGGATGAGACAAGCTCGAAATTTTGGATGGCTTCCATCCCATCTAGGGTGCCTTCCCTTATCCGTAGCTGTTACGATAAGATAAGAAGATGGGTTACATAATCTGGCAGGGGCGGGAGCAACCGTTGTGAGACTAGGATCAGCGACCGAGCGGCGTTGTCAAACGGGCCAGTGCCCAAATCATCGGGAAACAAACTGGGGCTGACATGATATCCGGCGCCGCGCACTGCCTCGTAAGCTCCCCTTGAGTTGGTTGGGGAAGATCAGAAGACTGAAAAGGGCAACGGGACCTCGCTTGTCTTTTCAGCCTCTTCAACGTCACTCCTCCATCTCCCGACTTTGAGATGCGGCTCCCTGAGGGGCCACTGTGAGCTTGTGAGGCAAATTCGACCGACTCAGACAGAGGCATGGTATTATGTATGGTAGTGCAGCTTACCAATGGCGACTTGCCACAGCTTCTTTTCGAATCCATAATCTGACAGAAAGGAATTTTTCGGTTATGTTTTGCGCGCATGCAGCTGGCTCTAATCGACACGCGAGCTGCATAAGGTAGGGCAAGATGCGGTGAGCCAACCAGCCTGATCCCTTGACCCAATGCATTGTAGGGCCATCAGAAAACCAGCGCCCATCGTCGAAATCAAGAGCGTCTTGCTGGAAGGGGCTGGTTGTGGATGTATAGTCGATAGAGAGATGCCAATAGGTATGGTGCCGAGAGCACCTAGGTTAGGTAAGTTAAGGTGGCCCGAGTTGGGCTTGATCTTCCGTAAGGTAAGGTAGGCGCGTTCGTTGGCGTTCTGGAAGCACACATTCGGACGTTGCATCAGACGGAACCAAGTGGTTCCCAGCTGATCAGTTACAATACCTAGTGACTTGCCCCCCTCCTTCCTGTCTAAGGCACGCAGTAGTGTGGACTGGTTCGTCCCTTGTGCATCGTGCTTTCCCTCAATGAGATGGATGGTGTTGCTGGCGTGGTGTCTCCAAAGTTGGGCCACTTCCATTGACGAGAACCTGTGGAAGGTGCTCTGGTGTCTGGGGTCCAGGTCTGGGAAGACGGGGCAGTCACAGTCCAGCCACCCCACCCCGCCGGTCGTCTCGGCCTACAAACGCTGACCCGCCCGACGTCTCCTGCCCCTCTCCGCTTTCTTTCCTCTTCGGTGTCTCCCGTTGGACCATCGGCGCTGTCTTGCTTGTAGACCCAGGTAGTACTCCGTAAGGTCATGTACCTGATGGGTTCACCCAACCTCCCGTACTGTCAAGTACCCCCGCTTCACTGCAAACCGCCCCGCGACTTCTTTTGGCTGCAGCTCTCCTCCTTGCGGCCTGTCCTCGCCCGTTTTCTCCCCCCCCCCCCCCCCCCCCCCCTCCCCTGGCCCTTGACCGCCTTGAAGCCCAAAGCTAAAGGCGGGAACGGCACCGGAAGGACAAACGAGGGGCGGCGACAACGCACACACATAATCTGCCCCTCCACTCATCGACTTGCTTCTTGTCGTACTCTCTCTCTCTCCTCTCGTCTGCCGACTGACTGCAATTTTCAACAATATTCTCTCGTCTTCCACCATCCATCCCTTCTCTACACGTCTCCTTCAGCAGACCTACCTTGTCCACGGATACCTCAAAAGAAAGCCGGCCTCTTACTGGTCCCTCATTGGAGCTCATTGAGACTTGGTCGGGCAGACGACCTCTCTCGCTTGGCGCCCCCTTCATTGGGCCATCGTCGGACCCCCAAGACTTGCATATTGGAAGCTGCTGGCATTCGAGCCACGACACTCGCGCTGCAGTCAAACCCCCCTTCCCATTCGATCCTCTCTTCATCTAACTGCGTCCTCGTGGATCAAGCTATCTCTCTCCCCACGTCTCCTCCGCATCTTCTGCTTCTGCTTCTGCTTCTCGTTGAATGAGAGCCCGCCGTTTGTTTGCTACGACTACGACTTCGTTGCTATCGATTCGGCCTTCTCTGTTGTTGCAGGAAACGTAGCAAGCCTACCTTAGCCTGCTGCTTTCTTGCTTGCTTGCTTGTCTTATTGTTTCATGCTTCGATGCTGCAGGATACATAGCACCAACACACGGGAGCAACTCGCTTTATTCGTCCTAGTTTTGTTTATTCCCATCTACCTTACGGATATTCTCTCTCTCACCCTACAACCGACGCTCTGCCGGGCTGCAACCATCCACCCCCTCTTAATAATCTCTTAAGTCAGGTTAGTCCATCACCGCTTTTCCTTCGCTCCTCTCTTCTTCCACTCTCTCTGCCTGTCTGCCGAGCCTCATCCCCAACCCCATACTCTCCAAATTCTCTCCATGAGACCCAATCTCAGGGTCTCGAGAGGAATAATGACATTTGTACTAGTAATAGATGACCCATCTTGACCTCCTTGTACAATATCCTCTCATCTTCACCTTCTCTCCCCCTCCGCTAGAGACAGACCCCTAGTGTCCCATCTGGTGATCCCTTCGCTAAGATGTATCCATATTCCCACAGAGAATACAGGCCGCGCACTCCACGCACTCCGCGTGTGCGCAAGACTACCACCAGGATGGACCCGGACTGTGCTATATGTCACGCTCCTGCTTCTGCAGCTTGCGACTGCGAGGCCAAGGGACTTGATGTTGCCATTAAACAGGCTGAGCAGCGCATGATGCAGTCCATATACACCGACATTCGGTAAGCCTGACATTTCATGTTTGCCTACGGAAGACTTCTCATGCTAACTACATACACAGAAGCTGGGTTCGGGCTCACGCGCAAGACTATATCCTGGAATATTTCCGTCTCCTCACCGAGCGCCGAAAGACAGCTCACGCCTCTAACCTTGAACGCATCAACGCCACCGCATACCATTACTATCACGCCCCGCCTCATCCCAGCGAGCTTGCCCAGGCGCAGGCCGCATTGAAGCATGGCATTGACGAAGATTGGCAATCCAGTGTCCAGCGATATCCCGAAGTCCTCGAGTATTTCTTCAGTCTGGTCGAGCTGAACGTCCCTCCAGATGATGACCCTTTCGTTAAGGATCCTCCATTGAGCGCCCTCAGTGGCGGGTCCAAGAATAGATCTGGAAGAAGAATCGGAGGAGGCGGACCTCCTTCAGGCGGGCCTCCAGCCATTGCTGCGCCTAGCAGTCATGACAGAGATCCGTTTGGAAGAAGACCCTCGTCCCCACCTATGGACATGCCACCGATGCCGATGCCTAGTAGAATGGGCGGGAGAACGCCGGCCTTGAGGGAAAGAGAAAGAAGGCCATTGCCACCAGGTATGCCGCCTATGGGACCGTCTATGGGACACCCCGGACACCCCGGACACCCTGGAGGACCACCACCTGGATATGGACGAACCGCACCTCCGCCTGCGGGTCCTTACTATGGATGGGGTCAGCCATGAAAGCCGACATTGACGAAAAACACCATCCAGAGCTAGGAGCTCCCGAAGTTCGAATATCACTTGGTACGAATTACGGCGTCTTTTGCAATTTTCTTATGATGTTATTTTGATGAGACCCACGAACTGCATTAGCGGGCTTTTTGGTGTATTGACGCGGAATAAGCAGGCATATATGCATTGCAAAGCGTAGCGGTGGCCTTGGAGACCCCCGTTTTTTGCGTATTTTTCCTTCATTATGTTCAGATGACCCGAAATTTGTGATTGAGTCTCGTACATTTGTATCCTTTATTTGGTTTCATCCTATTCCATTTGCTTTGGGAGGGTAGGCACCGGAGTACGGATCACGGAAGAAAGGCATTGTTTGCATTTGCGACGGCGTAGGCCGGATACTATTTGTTTTCCTCTTATTGGATGTTGCGGAAGGAATTCCCTAAAGGATCAACAGCCCTCGTACCAGTGGCCGCTATAGCAATAATCCATAAACCATATAAATATTGTCTCACGTATTATCCAACTTCGTGCTGTCCAGATCCGTGGTGAAGGAAAGTGGGGTGAAGCAAGAGGGCCGGCTAATAGTCATTCTGCACGCAAACAACATCATGAGACTGCTAACATGGGACCCGAAGCGTTACTGCCGAGGCTACACACGTGCTTGTCTTGTGCCATGATACCCTCGACGACTTGTTTGCTCAAGTTTCCCCGGAATCATTCTAGGACATCGCGTCATGGCTGGATTGTCCTGGACATGCCCGGCACGACATGGCTTTGCCTGCTGCACAAGCACACCTGCCCGACAAGGACGGCCCAAGGCAATGGACCAATGAGCGTTGATGGTCTATCTTGTTGATAGGGGGGATGGACCTACTGGGTGGGATTACGGTGGACAGCTGGACAGATCCCATGATTTTTGAGGCTGCTTAAGGTACTGTTGGATGGCTCTTTCCGATAGTCACGCAACATGCCCCGTCAACGATTAGGGACGTTTCCAGTCGCAGGTTGGTTTTTTTTTTTTAGGTTTTTTTTTTACAAATCGAAGAAGAGCTTTTTCCTCTTTAACCTCTCATTTTTCAAGTGTGTGGCTGGAACTACAAACGGTTACAGGGTGGAGGAAGCTGCTAAGTACAAGAAAGCCACTTTTGCCTCGAGGGACAAATTTTTGGCTAGGAAGACGCAAAACAAGGCCAGAGAGTTTATAAAAAGGTTTTGCATTCCCCACCCCATTTTGAATCCGAAGGAACTTCCTTTGTTTCCTATTTTTTGAAATGCCAAGTGTGCTTTTTGTGAGAAGGGGGGTGTCGTATGCGTGTGTCGGGTTGAGTGGGGGGGAAAAAGAGGCAGAGAGGCAGAGAGGCAGAGAGGCTGAGAGGTGAGAGCGTTTACGTTCCCCCAGTCGATGACATCGGCGACAGAACGTCAGGCAGATGTATCGGACTTGGAAGTCGGTGGGGTTCAGTCAGGCAAAAGTTGTAGACGGAGTCAGTGAGAAGACTATGCCTTCTCCTCAACGGAGGTCTCCTTGAGGTCCTTGGTGACCTCCTCGACCGAGTCGCCGTTGCTGACACCGTTGGCCTCATCGGCCTCGAGCTTCTCGAGCTGCTTCTTCGCCTTCTCAATGTTCTGGGAGTCGGGTCAGTATGACAAATCGATGAGAATAACAGTGAAAGATTGCACAGGAAGAACTTACACGCTGGGTCTGGGCCTCCTGGTCGCTCTTCCAGTGGTCGAGCTTGGCCTTGACCTTCTCGGCGACAGCGGGGACGTCGGAAGCGGCCATGGGGGGATCGATACCCATGAAGGCGCAGTCCTCGACAACGGAGGGCGGGCAGTTGTACTTGCCGGCCTTGTCCTCGGAGGCACCACCCTTCTTGCCCTTCTTTCCCTTCTTGACGGCAGGGAAGAAGTCATCGTCGCGGTCCTTCTTGGAAACGACCTTCATGCCCTTAATACCTGAGTCGTCAACAGTACGCGAAGCTTGAGCGGTGAGGCCGCTAGCAGCCTGGAGAGGAGCCTTCTCGACCTTGTGGGTGGGGTCGAGGAACTGGAGGAGGCTGTTGGCGCGGCGGATCTCCTCGAGGTAGGCGGGGTCGCTGGCGTCGGCGAGGAACTTCTCGGCATCGGCCTTCTTGCGCTCCTTCTGGTAACGCTCGGCCTCGTTCTTCCTTCTCTCACGGGCCTTCTCGCGAGCCTCGCGCTCGTGGGCCTGGGCCGCCTTGCGCTGCTGCCAGTACTCATCCTTGATGGTCTTGAGGGCGGCGTACTTCTCGTTTTGGAGGTTGTGCAGTCTGGTGCGCTCGTCGCGAAGGGTGGACAAGCTCTTGTAGGCCTCGTCGCCCTCGGCTTTGATGGCGTCCAGCTCGGCCTGAATCTTGTTGTACTGCTCAGACATGGCCTTGGCCTCGGGGTCTTCCATCGAGTCCTTGATCTCCTTAATCTTGGCCTTCAGGTCGTCAATGGACTTCTGGGAGTCGTCAAACTGGGAGAAGTTCTTCTTAAGCTTGCGAAGCGAAGAGATCTCGGCAAGAGCCTTCTTCTCATCGACAATCTTCATGCGGCCAGAGTTGACCTCGGAGTCAAGCTTCTCGATCTGGCGGTCGACCTCCTCGACGCTCTTAAAGTTGACCTTGGAGCGGGCGGTCTTCTGCTCGTTGATGCGGGAGCGCATCTGCTCGTCGAGTCGCTTGATCTGGTCGAGCTTGGAGGTGCGGGCGTTCTTGCCGGCGCCCTGCTTCTGGCGGATCTCGTTGGCCTGAGCAATGAGCTCGGCGCGACGCTTCTGGGTCGGGGATTGCTGCTCCTTGTTCTTGTTGGGCATAGCGATCTCGATCTTGGCCTTGATAGCGCTCTGGAGAAGTAATTGTGTGAGCCATTCGTGATCCAATGGCAATGTGTCATTTTCAGATATCCGGGGCTCGACCGCGATTCTCCCAGCCAGGAAAGGAATTCGAGAAGCAAGTCGCTAATGGAATTGGAGATGAAACTTACCAGCTGGTCGAGGGCCTCCTTATGCTCCTTCTCGGCAACCTTGAGCTTCTTCTGGTAATCGGCCTCGTCGGGCATGGTGGGACGAGCCTTGGTCTCGGTCTTGGTCTCTGCCGCCGCAGGAGCAGCAGCAGGTGCCTGCTTGGTGTCGGCCATTGTGACGGGGGGAAGAAGCTTGTTAATTGATGCAAAGGGTGATCAATTAGACAAAGCTGGCGATTGCGCACACTGCCGTAGTGGGAGTGGACAGCAAAGTCGGTTTGGTGATGTGGAGGATGGAGGATGGAGAAGTGGAATCGGAATTAACCACGCGAAAGGGTGAACTTTTCGTCAAAAGGATCCCCCAATTTTTGTTGAAATTCACTCTTTTGGGTTCCGTGGCAGGTACCTTCTGGAGAAGGTAAGGCCACCTGCTATCCTGGACTCGATTGTGGGGTTCGACTTGAATGTGGCACGTGCGTGCACTGTGACTCTGGACCCTTGAAAGGCCCGTGGCTGGAGCTGGCTGGAGCGTGCACCTGCCACCTGGTCAACGCTGCTGCGGGTCTGTCAATCAAGGAGTACGTACTTCATCTCCAAGTGGACTCCAACTAGAATATTCCGGGCTGTCTCGGATTATCCTCTCCGGAGTTATTCCAGAAGAACTGCCCGCTGTCCGGGACCGAACCAGGATTAAGCAACCGCGGTCAAAGGCCCCACTCAAACTTTTGCTCTGGACTGCAAGGCTGAGTCCGCCGCCAGAACTTTTTGGCTGAACCCCGTTTTGCGACGCCAATCTTTTTCGAGGTTCTCGAACTTTTCGTCGCGACAAGAACCAATCCACCTCCAACGCCCTCATCTCGATCAATTACCTTTCCTCGGCGATCACGATACGATACTAATCTTGACCACGAATTCGACGGGAGATTTAATAACGACGCAGCATCGCGAAGATGTCGGACCAGAAGGACGTCAACAAGGAGGTTACCAGGTTGTGGAGAGCATGGAGGACAGCCCACGAAATGGCTGCGGACCGCGTACGGAACCCATGATGTTCCATCGAGAAGGAAGAGCGTTCGAATGGATGCTCTTCGTCCTCTGACGGACGATGCATTTCGCTGTTTGGCAACATCTGTGCTGATGACGGATCGCAGGGCTATGAACTCGCCGAGGACGAACTCACAATCTCTCTCGACCGCTTCAAGATGGAGTACACCAGCGCCGACGGCAGCGTCAAGTACGTTCACCTCTGATCCACCAAAGCCTCAGTACTAACACGATAAACCACCCCAGCCGCGGCAAGCTCCAGTTCTCCGCCAACCCCTCCGCCGACATGATCCGCAAATTCACACCCCCCGCGACGCCCAACAACCCGAGCCCGACACCCGACTGCGGCACCCTCTGGGTCGAGTTCCTCGCCGACACGACGTTCGGCATCAAGGAAATCAAGAAATTCATCCACCACCTCATCAGCAACAAGTACTCGTCCGGCATCATGGTCACCCACGTGCCCCTCTCCCCGGCGGCCCGCAAGATGCTCGTCACCATCGAGTCGTTCGCCAAGGTCGAGTGCTTCCTCGAGGACGACCTGCTCGTCAACATCACCCAGCACGAGCTCGTGCCCAAGCACATCCTCCTCAGCCGCGAGGAGAAGATTGCCCTCCTCAAGCGCTACCGTCTCAAGGAGACGCAGCTGCCGCGCATCCTGCAAAAGGACCCCGTCGCAAAGTATCTCGGTCTCAAGCGTGGGCACGTCGTCAAGATTATCCGTACCTCGGAGACGGCGGGTCGTTACGCCAGTTACAGATTGTGCGTGTAAAAGAAGGGGGGTCTTGCCTGTGGCAGTTAAAAGGCTTGCGGCGGGGAAGGCAAGAATTGAGAAAGAAGGGAAAACCGGGAGAAGAAGGGTCAACGTGGGCGCTGGGATTGAGGACTCACCTTCTCAGCAGGATGACTTGACGCCCCGGTAGACGGGGGGGAAAAGGGAGTTCTCAGTATACTCTTTGCATCACTCTTGAGTCTGGCGTTGAGGGTACGGCTACGGTCTGCTGTTTTGTGTACGACAACCTAAAAAAAGAGATGGAGGGCTTCCTCTAGATGGACAACATAAATAACTTATTTTTTTCAACCATTTTGCTCCTGTGGCTTCACGTCTTTTTGACCAACTGGAGTGAAAACTAATGACCTGCATTTTATAAAGTCTGCCCGAGTTCTTGCAAAGACGGCAAGCACGCAATGTTATAGTGATATACAAGCCTCTATTTTCATCTTACTTTAAAGGCCCAATTCCTCAATATTGCACCTCTCTTAGTCACCCGTTAATGGAAGTTACACTCCACTTCTCCTTCCAAACATTCTTCAGCAACGGAGATCTCAGGCTACACATGGCATCGAAAAATTTCCCTTATTCCAATTGACCTCTCTCAGTTGAATCGTCTTTGAACACTCAATCAGCTAGAACGCGTACGGGATACTCCCTTTGCCTCTTCCTGTACCCAAGCAGAACCATCGCCTCCATATATCATCATGACAATCCCTTCTTCTTGGATACTACTTTGATGCATCTTCATCTCATGAAGGATTGAAGAACCTTCTGCGGTGACGAAGAGAAATGGAAAATTCTCTACCATCATGGGAAAAACCCAATACCCCAAGGGATCAAGGATCTCAGAGCCCCGGGATCCCACTATGATGAAAAGAAAGAGGGGGGGTTCGAGAGAGACGAACACAAGGGATGAACACTTCAAGCACCACAGTCTCCTCCATCTTTCTATTCATTGCCACCGGGTGGGTTCTCCTATTTATCAAAGAATCGACCATAGCCCAGGTAACACCAAGTCCCCTATTTCTACCGTGCATAGCATAAAGCAACTCCCACCACAAAAGAAAGAGAGGTCATGACACGGGTTGAACACCCAACGAGGTTATATTACCTACCGTCTCCTGTCTTTCTTCAACATGTGCCATGTGCGTTTAGTATATATCAAAAACGATCTCAGCCCCAAGACCCCCTTCTCCTCCTTATCTACTTACGAAAGGTATGCTAGACTAAGCATTCTACACTCACACACCAGCAAGCTCCTTGCCAGAAAAACTGCTCGAAATACAAGTAATTATGCTTCCTGTCCCGAGCACCAGCGGCGTATTCGGATTCTCGGGTAGGGATGAAGTGGTAAGGGGCAGAGTCAGGCGTCCGGCGTCAAGCGGCCTCCGTTGAGTCATGAGAAACGCAATATAGATAGCCAAATAGGCATACCTTCCTAGTAACAAAGTTGAATGCACATTTCTTAATTCGTCGGACTCGGGACGACTCACCCCATAAGATTACAGGAACTAAAAAGAAAAAGAAAAAGGATAAAGGACAAAGGACAAAGGCTAATGAGGAAGAAAAAACGTAAAAGGCCAAGGAAACTCTAAAAGGAGAGGGTAAAATAAAGGAAAGAACTATTACCACACTACAGTAGGTACACCACGTCCACCCGCACCACCTCAGGGGTAATTTGAAGAAGGGATTTTGCTGGCAGCGGGCAGTTGCAACAGAGTCAGTCGTTGGATTTCTGGTGGTAGGGAACAGGGTCGTCGGCCAAGATGCGAAAACAAACGTTGTGCAAGGACCAGGCATCATGGAAAGGTCTTCCGGGACCGGGCCTTCACGCGTTGTTGCGGATGCGGAAAAGCAAAGCCGGCAGGGACAAAGATTAGTAGGGCAGCAACCAATTCTAGATGTGGAAAAAAAAAAGTCATTCGTCGTTTGTATATGGTGATGATATTGGAACAAGTTGTTCGGGGTAACAAAACATGACGGCTATTTGCGCCGGGGGTATATATAACGATAAACAGTGAAGCAAAAAATGACGGCTTTCAGATATCATCGTGAGGGCCGCTCCGGGGGTCTCCTCCAACGCCCATTTCCCTTTGGTCGTAAGTAGTTCTTCCCTTTAAAATTCCAAAACGTAAAAATGGTCGTATCCGGTCCCTCATTGACCTACAGAAACGCCGGTCAAAGGCTCTAAACCTCTAATAACTCCTCATGTCCAAAAAGGGTCCCCAGCAATGTCGCTGAGATCGTCAATATACATATACATATACTGTCTCATAAAATATAGTCGTGGTTTCGTAGTCGTGATATGTTGTGATTAAATGGTTGTGTGTTGTGTCACAGCGTGGCTTCTGCGTGGTTGTGTCCAAACTACTTCAGTAAGCCACCAGGATCAATAAGTGTTGGTTCGCCGGGGCGAGGGTTGTAAGACGGATGGTCATCGTGTTGCGATTGAGGAATCGGTTGCAATTCGGTGCCGGTCCTGGATCTTTGTCGCGACGGTTTCGTGGGTCCCAGAAGTCCCCCAAGATCTTGCAAGAGTGCGGTAGATCCGCGACGCATTCCATTTGATCCAGCGGGCAAAGTGGGCGATGGGACGCCATGAACGCTAGATGCCATAGGATCCACGCTTGAGACGATGCTGTCCCTGCGGAACGTCTGGCTGACTCCAACCTGATCCTCTGATAGCAAACCCCCGACATCGAAAAAGGAGACCCTGCGCGGTGTCGTGGTCGAGTTACTCCTCGAGGAAGAGAGGTCGTGGGGTAAGAGAGAAGCGTCACTGCGCTCGGCGTTGCTTCTTTGCCGCTGGGGGAATTGCCACTGTCTCAGCTCTTCGCCGAACGGCCTGGCCATCGGCGCGGGAGTGTATCGTTGTTGTTCGTTGTCGAACTCATCTCGTTCCTCGTCGCGTTCTCGTAGGTCAGGATCGACACCAAGGCCGACATCTCGGACGAGATCCTCATCACTTCCCCAGTGACGATGAAGAGTGGGACGGCGCGAATCGGAGCCTCTGCGGTCTATTGAGTCTTCTGCCACGGATCCGTATTTGAACTTTTGTTTCTTCAGGCCGCGATCACGAACAAATGAGCCCAAGACCAGAGCATTTGCGGCCGTTGTTGCGAAGAGGAGCTCAACAGATGCTAGCACAGAACGCAGTTGCTGTTTGCCATGTGCCCTCATGACGTGAGGGACACGATAGATAGTAACACCGACGACGGCCAGGCTGAGCGAGAACAGTAGTGTGAGCTGAATCTTTCTCTTCACATTCATCTGACTTCGCAGAATGATGGGAATTGGGAAGAAGACCAGTAATAAGTCGGTGATGATGTTGCATGTCGCCATGGTGAGGAGGTGAGCGAAACCTTGGCGACATTGACCGCCCGGGTCAGGGGTGACCTGCCAGTAGTGGTTGAAAGGTCGACATTCCGCCAAATCGCTAATGATGATGGCGATGAAGGTTGCGACCAAGGTGCATCTGATGAAAACGAGCGTCTGTTCGTAGGAACGTGCCCAAGTGACGCCAGTCAGACGCTTGAAGAACTCTAAAATAGTGTTCTTGAGAATCCACAGTCTGCACAGACAAAGCGTTAGCAAGCCATCCTACCGTCCCACTGGATGCAGTGATGAAATTGCTGCATAGAATGCTGCGGGCGCAAGGCGCAAAGAAAAAAAAAGGAGTTCATGGAGGGGGTTCCGTGACATACGTTGCTGCGTAGAAGATGCGGCTGGCAAGCACGAGACCACTTGCGATTTCCTTCCTACGCTCGACTTCCGCGGATAATGTGATGCCGTCAAATTCGGCATTATTAGTCCCGTAGAGCAAGACAAAATGCACGCAAACCATGCGGAGCCATAGAGGGATCAGGGCGAGTGCTGCGACTTTGTCCTCTTGGAATAGTTTTTCGGTTCGAATAAAGCGGCCGGCAACCCGCAGTAGGATGATAACAGTGCAGAATGACGTTATCCACCAACAAACCAATAGCGAAGGCTTGTCCTGCGAGGAAGTGCGCAGCTCGGGCGGCTCAGTATAGAGGCTCATGGTGGACTGGAGCAATCCACGCCCGTCGACCTCCGCGGAGGGCACGACGAGCGAGGAAAAGGATGCGTCGTCGAAGGTCGAGACGTGACGTAGCGGGCGGGTCGAATTTCGTGCAAGGAATCGGCTCGGCTAACTGTTCCAATAGCGAAGATGTTGGCGGTTATTCCGAGGCTGAAGCAGCGCAACTTATCGGTTGATCGAGGAGCAGCACAATATTGCTAGGGAGGTTGGTGAGGGTATTGTAGCGTTTGTTGTTGCGTCTGATGCATGAACTTTGCGATTGCGAAGGGACGAACGGTGCGACATGAAGCGGGCCGGATCCGGGTGTGAATGGAAGCGGTGATGAAGGCGAGTGTACTCGGTATAACCGTCTCGGCCACGGTATAAGCGAACGAGAAACGCTTCCGAATCTTGTGAACCTCAACCTCTGGACCGACTGGATGGCGAAGTAGAAAAGGTGAACAGATGTCGAATGTGGTGGAAGGAGAACACGGAACGGAGCCTGGTCTAGATACCGCGGAGGAGTGGGTGGAAGTAATAAGCTGCACCGCCGAGTAGACGCAGATAGAGGCAGGTCTCTGGTGAGCATACCGCCGCCCTCCTAGTGGCTCTAGGATGAGATGGGCGATGGGATAGGCTGGGCCGGGATGGGCCAAGTTGGGGGGCAGTCAAGGATACCTGGTGAAGGTCCCTTTGCACACTAGGGATGAATGGGGGATTCGGGCCCTTGGGAGTAGGGGAAGACTCGAGAGTCGGGGGGTGTGGGACGGAGTGACAAGGGACTGGGCGAGGGTGTGCCGTCAGGGACTTGGTGGTGTGCATCACCAGCTTTTCTTGGCTGGCCAATCCTGATCCTGTCGGCTGGAGGGCGACAGGTGAGAGGATGTGAGGAGGTCGGGTGGGTGAACAGATTGGCGGCGCACTCAACGAGAGCACAGGGGCATCAGTCGAGGCTGGCCGTATCCTTTGCTTCCCACGTCCGTGGCGGACCAAGATGCTGTCAGGCATTGGCATTGGCATTGGCGTCGTCGCTTGTCGTTTATCGTTTGTTGTCTGCGTTCCTCGGTCCCTTTCCAGCGCCATGTATACGTGTCTCTAGTAGGTATCCGTACTCCGTACCGACAGAGAGATACGGCGGTCAGCCGTGGCCGATCGCAGAACTGCCAACGCTGATTAGAATGACGCTAATCCGCGTCCAAGATGTAACCGATTCGCTCATCTGGTGGGGGTGATTCGGAGCTGGCTAGGAAGCTAGGAGCTAAGGTGGTAAAGACAAGTAGCGTTGAGCCTTGAGTCGTTCGCCTCTACTGAATGTGTCCCGCGACAATGTCTCACTCGCTGCGGCACCCGGGCCCAAGGTAAGGTGAGTTGAGGTAAGAATAGTACTCCGTAGCTGGTCTTCGCTTTACGGTCAGCATGCCCTCTTCGCATACTTCGGCGGGCTCCAGTTTGAACGCGACAATGGTCCTTTGGGGCCTCGGCGCTTGCTGCGCAGACACTGCGGCTGGACGGGCAAAGAGTCGAGACCGATGAAAAAACGGGTATTGAACCGGCGCTGCTGCGCTTGTTGCAGCATGCGCGAAAAAGCGCACAGAACTGCCTCCACATCTCTTCCCACAGCACTTTCCACCTGCATCTTGCCATTCTGCGATTTTGGCAATGGCCTCTTCATCAACAGTAGGGTACTCGAAGAATTTGCTCATCGACCGAGTCTGATCAGTTGAGTTTGCAGCATTGTCTCCTCCATAAGCATGGACCACACGTCCTAGCAGTCGGCGTCGGAGCTGCCCGCGAGCTGTTCCATGGGTTTGGACGCACCTTTCTCAGGATGTCGAAGTTCCGCTATCAACATCTATTCGTGGTATCCGTAGGAAGCAAAAGTATCTGTAATCCCAAGAAAGCGTACATGACCCTAGAGCCATGGGCATACAAACAGAGCGCCAACGAAAACCCCTCTCCACTTGTCTCGTCTTGTCTTGACTGCCTGCGAGGTGGTCTCGATTTCCCAGTCGTGTGCGCCTCTCCACTTAGATAAGGCGACGGCAGACGAGAGGCCAGCCTTTCTTCGCAGGATTGGTGGACCGGCCGTTGAACGGCCGTGTTGCGCACGCCCCCCCCCCCCCCCAAACCGACATGGGCGGAAAAGTTGCGAGTTCAGTGCCTTGGTTCATCGCATCAGAGTATGGATACCCACTACCTAGCCCACATGCTGACTCCCTCTCAAGAGTCAATCACTGTGTGGACTAACAGTACGTAGTACGAATATAGTGTACGGATACTGCTTTACTGCGTACATTTGAGGGCTCCGTAGTCCGTACGAAGACGTGAAAAGACTATGCGGAGGTGATTTGGCCCTTGCCCTCTTTCTTTACCGGGGAAAAGTCGTCCACAAGGATGCCCAATGGCTGTCAAGTTAAATTGACAGGGGAAGGCTTTCACAAGCTGTGGAGGGTCAAAGTGTCTTTGGATGCCAGTGGTTGTTGCCCTGCCCTGCCCTGCTCTGCACTGTCCTGCTGACTGAAGAAAGAGTGGTGGCATGGTCCGACGCGTTGGTAAGCTTTGCAACTTAATTAGTAGATCAGGGCAGACGAGTTTTTGGCACTTGGTAGTACCAATGGTCGCCGGCACGATGCATACCTCCTTGGTTGCTTCGATGCAGTTGATGGCCGCCATGGCCTGATGGCGCTGCACGGCTGAGGGTTGGGATTCCTAGAGGAGGAGGAGAGACATAGATAACCGCGGTTTGTTTAATTGGACTTTGCCGGGTGGCCGAGCCTGGGCTTATGGACTGACTGATAGTCTGATATTGGCCATGTGGTGGATAGTTCGGAGGTGTTGGCAGCACTGCCAGGATTCTTGGTAGACCGGAGGTGAATTGGAGGCCCCAATGATTGCCGCTGCGGCGCAGACAGGCGAAAGGTTGTCGCAGCTGATGATAGAGCAGGAATGGTGGTGATAGGATTGAGGCGATGGGTGGGCTCGGCCGGCCGACTCGAGCATGTGGAATTGGATAGCGCAGCAGGAGCTAGAGAGGAGCTCAGGTCCGTCTCGGCTGGCGTCCTAAAGTGGACGGCTGCATTGCCTCGTGTGCCCCCGTATTTCATCATTGCTTTCTGGGAAGGTTCTTGTAATATCAGTCGCCCAGTCGAGTGCGTATGTTACTCTAGCGTTGGCGCGGCGCAAAGTCCACGATTCTCGGTCTGGAGTGCCTGGGCATCTGTTGAGCTGGCGCGGGTGGGAGGCAACAGCCGATGCCGAGGAGACAAATGGTCGGCGATGAGTACCCATAAGCGGATGACATAAAACCCATGGCGGACGCCTTTGAGATCGAGGGGGTGAAGGTTGATGATTTGCCAAGCCAGTCAGGTGGCTAACGCAGGAGACGGAAGCCATGGCTGTTACGTTGCCGCCCAGCGAGGTGAGTCAACTATTTTATCGAAAAGAAGTGCAATATCAGAGCGTCGTCTGATGGCTCGTGGCCAACGATGTTTTTTCCTCCCTTGGGTATCAGCATCTAATGATGGCAGCCAAGTACTCCGTAGAGTACCTAGCAAGGAGGGATGTGCGCAACATGGGCCGACGATGGCACAGACCAGGCATCAACCGCGGTCCGATAGCGCTGGTGGTTGAGGTGTGGTAAGTCAACAAGACCAGTGAACAGTCACGGGGTTCTTTCCCTTGCCTGATCAGAAGATGTCTCAGTCTCGCCAGAGAAAGATCTTCGAGGAAGGCTGCCGCGTGGGAAAGTCGAGAGTCGAGACTTGAGAGCATGGTTGACGTGAGGCTAGACCGTTCCTGAATTGAGAGTGTGCCCAAGTGTTGGGTAACTTGGGTCCCGAAGAATTTAGCGGTGCTAAGGTGAGTAAGGTAAGATAGTTGACAGTCCAGCTGAAATTTGAGTTCAATCGATGGCAGGTCAAAAATGCAGGGTATATGCGGGCAACGAGTAAAGGTAGGATAAGGCGGTGGTGGGGGGGGGATTTGGAGATCGGAGAAGAGGAGAGAGCTGCGATCCAGTGACTGAGGGTTGAGGAAGAAGAGGGACGACTGGGACTGTGGGACGTGGAGGAGGGAGAGGAGCAGGAGAGGGGAGGGAAGAGGGGAGGGGGGGGGGGGGGCTGGGCGTGGGGGTAAAGATGGGGGGGCGTGTGTTGAACAAGGGTCGGGAGGAAGGAAGGAAAGCAACGCAAATTGCAGGCAGGCACGGCAGGCTGGCAGGTACCTTACGGAGAGCAGGAGCAAGTCAAACAAGTGCAAGAGCAATGGACCAGGTGCGTTCGTATCTCACAGTTACAGATACGAATGCTCTCCCCTCTGACACTCCGTCAGGGCCTTATTGCTGAGTATCCGTGCTTATTCGTACAGCAACGAAAGATGCGGGCATCGAGCTGATATCTTTCAGTTTCCGAGTCAGGTGAGAAAACCATCGGTGAGCCTTTTCTCCTCCCACTCTGAGACCAGACTAACCGACTGTAGCGGGCACTGCCCTTGGAGATTTAGTGGGAGTACTACCTATCTGTATAGAGCACCTGAGATACCGCGACATTGGTTACCCCATGTACTCGGGATATCTTGCCTTGAACACCAGAACGCCATTGTCGTGTCCTCACGACCACAGTTGGCAAAACGCAACGGTCACGGCAACGGCAACTGCAAGTCGCAGTCGAGTCCACTCAAGGCACGCCGCACATCGTGTCTTGCCCTGCGATGCAGCGACGCACCTGTGTCTCTGCCGTACCTTGCTTACGATTTACCCTGCCTCGCCTGCGACTTGCCCTGCTCTGCTCCCCTGCGTGCGGCCCCAATAGTGGACAACGCGGGAGAGGCCATCTCGTCATCTGTTGGTCAGGCCCCCCCGCCAGCAACAAGTGGATGACACCCGCTCAACCACCACTGACCAGTGAACAATGAGGTGACCAGGACGGAGTACGGAATACGGATACTACTCTGGGGGAGGAAGGGGCACGGATGGGAATTTGGGAAGAAAGCACACAACTTGAACATCGGGGGAGAAGCATGGGCCACCGCTTAGGTTGCCCTCTCCCGCCTCCCACTGGCCAGATTCATCCGGTTTCCTGTCACTGGGAACCACGATGGAGTCCACGGCTTGCACGGGGTCCCGTAAGTGGCCCGATTCGGCCGTGACAATCGAGATGGATCAATGGAGATGGGTTGGTCGCTCTTTCTTTACGTACTCATCATGCTTCAACCACTCTACGGATACTCATACTTTACGGCCCGGATACAGCACCCTCTGCCTTATGGATGCCATGTATCTGTAAGCCGTCCAAGTAGGTATACACATACTAAGAGACCATCTCTTCCATCTCACGCATCTCCCTACCTTGCCACGCCGTGCGGGTCAGATCCGGTCCCGCCCGTAGTCACGGGCAGTAGCGGCGCTCAAAGGTTCCCGTCCTTTTTATTTTTATTTTTTAAACCCGCCATCCAGTGTTGCAGCGGATGTCAGCATCGAGCAAGAGGGTGCCTTGCGGATTCAATCTGCTTCCCCAACGCAAGGCAAGGGCAAAGGTACCTCATGCGCATCTGCACCTGCTGCTTACCTACCTAGCTTTCTCTATCTCCGCCTCGACAGAATACCGCGCCGCCTGTGCCATGCCATGTCATGCCATGCCGTGCCACGCCACGCCACGCCACGCCACGCAAACCGCATCTCATCTTACTCTATCTCATCCTACTCTACCTTTCATCGGGAAGACTGCCTGAACTCTGGACGCAGTACGGAGTACCAGCCCGACAATCCCAGAGCCACAAGATCAAGAGGAAAGACGCGTGCGCCGAGTGGCATCTTGAGAATTATTCGCTTGCTCGCTCCTTGCAAAGTCGGGTTTAACTACGGATACTTACGGATACCTAGTACGGATAGTAATCAAAGCTTCAGCACACCACGTTTCGACAACGATACGGAGTAAAAAATCATCGAAATGCAACCCAACTTCAACACCAGGTACCTGTCCACTACCTACCATCAACCCTGACCTCCGGCCAGAATCGGCGCCACCAGCCTTCAAAAACATCGATACTGGCGCCTAGGACTCGAGGTACCCTTGCCACAGATAACCTATCTCAGCACCTTACCTCAGATATGCGTATCCCTTCTAGGTACCTCCCCAGCCACGCCATTCCCAATCATATCTCTACCGGCTTACACCAGCTTCGGCTGGAACAACAGATATCTAACTTCAGCGTTAACTGACGCCTCTTCAAGACGATCAATACCATAATTATTGCAGTCTTGATTTGCCCTTCTTCCACGCCCAGAGCTCGCGAAACTGATTGGGATGCACAAGACAACACCAACAACAGGCAGCGTGGCGTTCCCGAGTCTGCCTCATCACACCGCTGTCGCTCACGCGACACCGCTCCGAGCCTCGATTCGGACCAATAATGTTAATCCCAAAGTCGGAGGACGAGAAACCCCACACAACCAACAGATACGATACCAATGGCGCCGAGTCTTTAACTAGCAACTAGTATCCGTCTAGTAACCGCTTGTCCGGCATGCCTTCAGACACCACTATCTTAGCTTACCATAGCAATTGTTCCCGACCCAACATCCACCCTTAGCCAGGCCCAGTGGCTGAGTCTCGCAATCTTCGTGCGCAACCGGCCGCATCGAAGCAACTCCTGAAAGTACATGGGCTGGTTTTACCTGTCAAAGTACAACCACTCGGTCCCTTCGACATGTTGAAGAGTTTCACTGCATATCTGCCAACTTGCCCGACTGAGCAGGTCCTTTCAATGATACCATTTGGGGGGAGTTCCACGCTAACCTGACGCTCGTCAATCGACCAATCCCGGTCTCTCTCTCCATCCAAAGTAGCTCAAGATAATACTCTGTACTTATCAAAATCCCACATCGATGCCCGCACCCCCATCCGTCTATCGCATTACGCCTCCGACTTACCCCTCGCCATATTAGGTCGCCTACTGTCACTCGCCTTTCCTTCTTCGGGCTTGGTCTTTCACCCGTCCATCTCCTAGCGCCCACCTGACAAGCCCTCAATCCGGGGGGTAAAGGGCACTTTTACTTTTGTCTCATTAGCTTGCGCCTTGGAGAATCCGAGGTAAACTTCGTCCGCCACCCCATAGCTAAATCGAGACTAACTCCCCGGCACCCATCATTTTGCGTCCCTTGAACTTGAAGCTGAAATTGCTTTCCAGGGTTCTATGTGTCAAATCCACGTGGAAGAGTAGAGGACCGTCAGGGAGAAACGAGCGATGAGCCAGACTATCGAAGAATGGTAAAAATCACGCACAGGTTGACAAGGGGATCACCAAGCCTTGCACCGGGTTACCAACACAGCGACTTGTCTCTTACGTGTGCAAAATGGCCTTGGATAAGGTGCCCAAGTCAATTGTCTTCAGGCCCTCGCTGCCACTTGCGTGTTGATGGCGTTGCCAAAACGCGGCGCAGGCTACTTCAATCTCCCAGCCTCTACTGGCAAAAACAAATTCCCGCGGGAATATCCGCCAAGAGAGCGGCCGCTGTACCAGACATTCCATTATCTTGAGACATGAAAGGATCCGATCACATCCTCCCAAAGACACTCCCACGGCTCCTAGACAATTGACTGGTTCGAGTTGTGGCATGGTCACAACGGCCCGATTCTGCGCACTGGACGACCCCCAAAAGCCCAGAGCACCAGCCTCAATCGTCATACTCAGCAGTTGGCTACGAGCTGTAGACTTTGCCTATGTGCCTGTGCACCTGTCGATTCATCCGCCTCGGCATCTGATACTGGCGGCTGCTCACTAGGTAGAATTACTCTACGCCTTACAGTCTCACTAGCCGTGCGTGTCATCCGATCGACAAAACGTCACCAACGTCCGTGTGTAATGTGTATACTTCATACTTCAGCCTACACGACGCAAAGACATAAAGGGGGGGGGAGGGCACCGGCCATGAAACGCCATTGTCGGATCCGATTTGTTTTGCGGATGCTTGGCTCATAAACAGGAGACATCTGAAAATCCGAAAGTGTCAACCCGCACTCTCTGCTAGCCAATGCTCTCACTCACTAGTCACTACTCCAGAACGTCGGAAACTCGGTCTCGGGTCTGAGTTTCTGCTGAAGGATTTTTCCAACTCAAGGATTTCCAAGCTAAAAGGCGTGGTTGGACCAGGCATTTGCAGACGTATGGATTCCAAGATCAACCAACCATCGCGGATCTCTGAACGAGTGAAGAGTTTGCGATTAGGTAGGTGCCCGGGGCCAACGGGGGGGGGGGGGGGGGGGGCTTGGCATTATTCAACAACAATTCACTGGTTTTGCTTCGGACCCAGCATCTCGTTTCCGCTGGATATCGGAAGTCAAAAAAGCTGATCGACATGTAAGTTGACAAAAGTGACAATGCACCAGATGATACTAGTGTATTTTTCTGCTTTTGCTGCCCCGGAAGCGATTCATCGGTAATCTGTCGGTAGCAAAATCCCGGTGAGATGTCCGTCGAAGCCCGGCGGCCGCGGGAGATGGTCTATGCATTATACCACCACCATTGAGGGCTTTGATGACGGGGGGCCTTGGCGATTTCCGTGTGTCTTTCGGCCTCACAAACCGAACTGAATGTGGCTGTCGAGTCCCATGGATATATCCAAAATGCAGTTGGTTGGAGGGTGTACATGTTGAATTCACTACCGTATCAGAACTACAACGAGGAAACGTCTTGCCATGTCGTAACATAACACGGGGACCTTTCGGGCATGAAGGGTTCGGCCCTCTCTCATCAGCGAGCATCTTCTTTCCCGTCTTCTTTTGTCTGCAACCCTATTCCCCAAAACTCACCTTCCTTGCCCGGTAACACACCGTCGGCGGAGCGGCAAATCAAACCTACCAAGCCCTCCCGCTCGACGAACTGAACCCTCATGAAGGCGTGCTTTCGGATAGGCTGTCACCACGTGGGATATGTCTGAGCTTCTGCTTTGAGTTCTATCCCGACTTGGTATTGTTTCTTGACTTTGAACTGTTTTTGCCGGCCAAAGGACCAAAGGTTTCAGGGATGAGGCCGAACCTTGAAATCTGGCGGGACGACGGGGAAGGGGGTAGCAGTGTTCCCTTTCTGTTGACAGCTCGCCATTTTCCCGCCCCCCGCCTCCCGCGAAGCGTCGCAATCCGGCAGATGACTATACACTTTTCTTCTCGAAGAGACTGGCCCGCACTGAGTAAAAAGGTACGTATAACCTTGGTTGGGACGAAAGGAAGCATTCTCTATCACGGCGTTTCGCGCAACCCAAGAAGCCGCATTGTGTTATGCTTTGCTTGACTACGCTGCCCGAGACAATGCAAACTGGTCCACGACGCGGTTGATGGAGGCTTTGTCGGCTTTACTCCAGTCGACACTCTTGAGCGACTCGGCGCCGCCGCCGTGGCTGCCATCCTTATCCTCCTCCCCAAACAGCTTCCACAGCTCGTCGACAACCAAGCTTCTCACCCTCGGCCAGGGATGAAACATTAACGCTCCGAGGCGCTTCCTGGCCTCTGAGATGCCGTCCCGCCTCTTACCCCGGAGGATCTCCTCCCCCTCCTCCTTCACACCGGCACACTCCAGGTCGAACCCAGCCACGCAGCCGTACACCTTGATGCAAGCCTCCAGCTTCCTGACATTGCCCGTCTTGTAACCCGCCTTTTGGACCTGCAGACACAGGTGCCGCAAATCGACCTCGCGACATTGTTGAAAGAGCCCGACGTGGCATAGGAACGCCACGATCTCGAGCGTCGGCACCACGACGCGGTCTCCCTGGCCCTGGCTCTGGCCTGGTGTCTGCTGCTGACGGGTCTTGACGTTGCTCACCAGCGCCGCGCAGACGGCATCCAGGTTCCGCGGCGACGTGGCGCAAAAGTCAGCCAGCGCCGCGCGGGACGCAATCACCAGGTCCTCGTTGCCCGTGTCGGCTGACGTGACGTAGCCCGCCAGCAGCTCTGCCATCCAGGCCCCTTTGTCGGCCCTGGCCGGCTCCGCGATGGGCGGTTGGAGGCTGTTGTCTGTTGCGTAGAGGTTGAGCAGCGTTTTGAAGTAGGGTTTTGATGAAAAGGTGAGCTTTGTAAAGGTTGTTGCGAAGCTAGTTATGCACTCTCTGTCAGTCGGGCGCTTGCATGTTGCTTTCTTCTCCCTCGCTGCTCATGAAAAGATCATGATGATTAAAGGGGAAAAGGGGGTGGGGGGGTTCCCTTACCTAGACTCAACAGTCAAAGCAAGGACAGCGTGTGCTTCGGTTCTTACGCGATCCAGCTTCTCGGCGGCCAGACGTAGGATCCGGAGGAAAAGCTTTGAGACCGCCTCGGGAAGCCAGTCCATCTTGTTGTCGTTGCTGTTGTTCTCCCTGGCAATACCATCATCATCGTCCCCAGTAGAGTGAGAGCGATCCACGCCAAGAGCCATAGTCCACAACGATTTTGTCGCCTTGAGCGCCTCCAACCTCACATGGGATCCGACGTCGCCTCTCGCGTTGGTCGTGTAATCGTTCAGACCCTCGGCCAGCAGGTCGAGGAACACAAGCGCCTGGTCCCGTAGTAAACCACTCTGCGACAGGGCCTGAAGGATCGCCACGCGCGTGTCAATATCGTTGTCGCTGGCCCATCGCGCAAGGATTGTGTCGCAGACGATGCTTCTGTCGGTGCCGCCAAAGGTAGTCGTGACAGAGTACGCCATCGTCAGCGCAAACAGCGTGCCCGTATCGCTGGCCGCACGAGACGTCGGCCGCTGCCTCACGGCGCCGGCCCATTCTGTGACGATGCGCTTGCGCTCTTCTGCGGGCGAGAAGACGAGGAGGACGAGCCCTGCTTCCGAGGACGCGGCGACGGCTTCCTTTTCTGTGCGGGTGAGGCCTGCGCTGACGATAGGGTGGAAGGTGGAGACTAGGTTGACTATGCTGTCGGGGATTTTGTTGTTCTTGTCCTGGGCGTCGAGTGTTTTGATTGCATCGAGTAGGCTTTTGGTGTTGTTTGTTGAGACGACCTTGTAGCCTGGTTCTAGGTTTGTGATTTGGCTGCTGGGTGATGATGTAGCTTGTAGGATAGGGAATGATGAAGTGATTAGACGGCTGTATGCTTCGGCGATTAGCTCTGGTCGACGGTATGTTGTCGTTTGGAATTCTGTGAAGAGTGATTCTAGTTCGCGGATGATGCGATGTGCGATCTCAGTGATGACGGTATCGATCGGTTTATCGACGACCAGCTCGGGGAATTTATCGAGGACGGAGGCGAGACAGAGCACGAGACCATGTCGTTCGTCGACCTGGCGCGTCTGGAGCGTACGCAGGCGTGCGAGAACTCTGTCGATGGACGCCGTGAACTGAGCAACGCTCCCGTCGTCGTTGTGGTCACCAGATGGGGACGTTGACGAAGAAGCAGCCGAAGCCGAAGCAGAAGCCGTCGTCTGCCGCGCGAGTTCCAACGTAAGCGTACCAAACGACGCACCAGCCACGCGCCGCGAGACGACGTCGGCGTCGCCTATGCCCCGCCAGCCGAGCAGACCGTCCAGCAGCGCGACGCCGTACTGCGACGAAAGTTTTGTCGCGCTGAGGGCTACGTCATGCACCGCGCGCGAGCGCAGGGCGACGGTGTGGTAGTCTACGGCCTGGACTACCCAGATGCCCTTTTCGACGGTATCCGGGTGCCGGCCGATGAGTTCCTGCAGGGCGGCCGAGGCGCCGCGGCGGATGTTGCCTGCTGGGTCGAGGGAGGCTGTTACGGTGAGTTCTGTGGCGAGGACTTGGAGGATGGAGACGCTGGAGGCGGATACGTTGGATGAGGCGTTGGAGGAGGTGGAGGGGTTGTGGTAGCTGCGTGCCGCGACGACGGACGCGGTGGGAACGTGAAGGAGTTCTGGGGTGGTGTAGCGGCGTGCGAGGGCCCAGATGCCGAAGCAGGCTGCGTCGCGGACGTTTGTGCCGATGGAGCCGCCCGAGGTGCTGCGTTTCTCAAAGGAGAGGCCGAGGAGGAGGCCGTGGACGATAGAGGGGAGTTGGGAGGCGGGCGGTGAGCGGCGGTAGAGGAGATGGGAGAGGGTGAGCATTAGGCCATGCCATTCTAGGGGGTCGACGGCTGTGAGGTCGCGCGTGGAGGTGGTGGTGTTTGCGGAAGAAGAGGTTCCTTTGGAGGTGCCCGGGTCGCGGGTCCAAAAGACGTTGCGGTTGAGGGAGTCGAGGACGGCGTCGACGACTTGGGAGGCCATGTCCGGGTCGAGTTTGAGGGTGACGATGCTTAGGGCTTTGGAGGCGGCCAGGCGAACGGGGGTGTCGTTGTCGGCGAGGGATTCGAGGAGGTAGCCGATGGACATTTCGACTAGCTCGTCGGTGCTCTGCTGGTCTGATGGGGCTTTGTTGCTGCGTAGGAGGAGGACGGTGACGGAGCGGATGACTTTGATGAGCATCTTGCGCGCTACGGCGACGGAGCGGATGGCGGTTGAGACGGACGGGGCGGCCGCGACTGTGGTGTCTGGGGCGCCTTCGGCGGAGGCGACTGCGTGCGCGGTCAGGAAGATGGGCGAGAGGTAGGCGTCCATGTCGGAGGTGTTTATGGAGGATCGGAGGACGCCGGCGAGGAAGGAGAGGACGCCGATGTAGAAGTAGGGCGGCTGCGGTGGTGGTGCCGGTGTCGCAGCATCGGAGGAGGATGGTGAGGGTGAGGTTTTCAGGGAGGCGAGGGACCAGCGGACGAGGGCGGAGAGGACGCCTTGGGATTGCATGTCACGGCGCATGGCGACGCGAACGAGGAGAGCCCGGGCGCCGTCGCGTTCTTTGCCGGAGGAGGCGAGGTACTTGATGGCGATCGGGAGGATGCGGACGGTGATTCCGGGGAGGTCCTCGGGCCAGTCAAAGTCTGGGATCGAGGGGAGGGTGAGATCCGGATCGGCGGAGGCGGAAGAGATGGTAGAGAGGTCGAAGGGGGCGAGGAGGAGGTGGGAGAGCCAGAGGAGGACGAGGTAACGCTCCTCCCAAGACCATATTGCGGCTGCGCCTGGTGAGGATACTGACACGGCAGAGGATGACTGGGGCGAAGAAAGGGAGTTGAGCGCGGGGCGGGCGGTTGACGAGGCGTGCTCCGAGGCCTCAAGGGCCGAGAGGAGTGGCTCGATGTGGCGGGACTCGACGTTGAGAAAGCGGACGATGACCTTTTCGCCCCGGATCTTGGTGAAGTAATAGATGATTTTGGCGATGGCAAGGCTCAGGGGCTCGAGGAGCTGGGAGCGGGTTGAAGCCGATGGCCGGGCCCGAGTGCGGGTGCGGGTGTTGAGGTGCTCTAGGTACGTTGACGCAAGGAGGGGAAGCCATTCCGGGAGGTGAGGGTCCAGTAGTTGAGGGAGTTCTTGGAATGGGTCAAGGAGCTATGAAGTGTGTCAGTATCCTGAGTTCTAGGTGTTTTGATAGGGAAGAATATGAGATTGAGTGCAGAGGAGCAATTACGCTTGAAGTCAGACGTGAGGTCTCCGACACCCTGACGCGGGCGCGGAGGGTCTTGCCATCGGGCTTGCGGAGGAAGAGCGGGAGTGAGCGAGAGAATTCTGCAATCAGTTCCGATGAGGCCTTTTGCAGCTTGATGTCGCCATCATCCTCATGGGCGTCCATGTTGGCTGATCGCCGGTGGGTGAAATAGGTTGAGAGGTTCGTCGACAGTTGGCTGGGCTTTCATTCCATGTCTTGTAGCGGCGGGGTGAGATGAGATGCCCGAAGATCCCTGAATGCTGACTTGAGAACTTCGATTTGAACCCCAAATGTGACCTTTTTGTTTTGATCCTTGTTTTATCTGGTCGAGGAATGTTAAGCACCAGACCTCGGATGAGAAGTTGATCTGATGAATGAGTGAGGTTGATGTTGTGGATACCTCGAATTCAGGCAGTGAAGTTTGTACAGTGCCTGTCACTGGATGAGCACATGCTAATCGTACTGTACGCGAATTGTACCTTCTCGGCGGGGAAAGGAGCGGTTCTGCGTACATGGTGTCCATCAAGAGCTGTGTATGATTCAAGACAAGAGTCACTCTGTCCGACTTCTGTGCCAGATTTAATCTTGAAAACCAATCGAGACCTATCGTAAACTGAGTGAAGAAACAAATCAATCATCCACCGGGAAAGGGCCAATGAAACGGACCATACAATTCGACGACAACCCGCTCCAAAACATCGTCAACTCCATCGTCCAACACTCTCCCACTCAAACGACACCGTTCTCTGCACCACGTGCAAAGACGCAGTGAAGGCCGATGATTTTCGTCAAAGACGTCGAAATCAGCATCATGAAACCCACGAGGACTTTGTAAAGGCGGTCGCAGAGGGGTGTTACTTCTGTAAACGCTTTGCGAGGCCCTCCGCAGACCCGGGCATTTCGACTTCCCTGAATGAGGACATCATTCTTCATCCAAGACCTGATCCAGTAAGACTTTTCTTCGCCGGTTCTGGACAGCATACATGACCTGCGTGGAGAGAAGGTGGTCTGAATGACCTAGTTTGTTTTAATCTCATGAAACGTGGTCCTGGTGAGTTACTGTCTCCCGATTGCAAGTTGATACGAGGACTTGCGACTCGTTAGCTTTGCTACTGAACTGACTGGTGGTTCTTCAGATGACGAGCCACCTGCGCGGTTGGGCCCTCGTATGGACTCGCAAGATACACTGGGGACAATGAGCAAGTGGCTCGACGACTGCGTCCAAAACCATCGCGAGTGTAGAGTCTTCTACAGACGTTCGACTTCGCTACCTCCAGGCTAATTGATGTTGGAGACCCCGGAAGCTACTTGTGGAAGATCATCACCACCGAGGAACACATAACTCCTCTTAATTATCGAGGCTATCTCACATTGAGTCACCGCTGGGGCTTTTCGCCATCCGTACAGCTCACATCGGACACGCTTCCTGCATTCCGAAACTACACAGCTATCGAAATCTCCCCAAGACTTTCCGCAATACCATTACTTTGGCACATCACTTGAATATTCGTCACATCTGGATCGACTCACTATGCATCCTTCAAGATAGCCCATTAGACTGGAAGAAAGAGTCTTTCAGAATGGACCACGTATACTCCAACTCTACCTGCAACATCATTGCAGCACAATCCGAAGAGTCTGACGGTGGTCTCTTCGCAATGAGAGACCCATCCGTTTTGGAAACATTTGTTGTTTGCTCAGAGAGGACGGATATCCCATCCGGCCAGTACACCGTCTGGGATCACATGTCCATCTTGAACGACTACAACAGAGCTCCGCTGTACAAGCGCGGCTGGTCTTTCAAGAGCGCCTACTCCCCAAGAGAAGTCTTCATTTCGGCAAAGACCAAGTCTTTGGAAATGTTCACGGCGCTTTGCCTGCGACAGCTTGCCCGACGGCATACCAGTGGTTCCAGATAGCGAAGTGGTCGAACACGGAAAAGCCGTGACCCGAATTCGCAGAATGCGCCTCCTAGTGGACTCATCGCCAGGTGATTCACCAGAGGATGACGATTTTTTCGCTGATATCTGGGAGCGCCTAGTTGAGGAGTACTCGGGCTGTAGCTTGACCTACGAAAAGGATAGACTCGCAGCCTTGAACGGAATGGCAGGCCTCTTTTCTGATGCCTCTTTGAGCAGATACATCTCCGGTATCTGGAACATACACGTCACCCGACAAACCTGCTGGAGCTTGAACCCTGCAGCGGAAAAGAAGCCCCGACCTAGTCATCCCGCGCCATTTTGGTCGTGGGCATCCGTGCAAGGCAAAAGTCTCATTCAAGGCCATCATGAATAGCGATGAGAGTATTGTACACCTCGCGCGTCAGTTTTACCACAGTTCCCACGACAGTACTCCCGCAGGACGCCGGAAACCACCTGGAGGCTACGTTGGCTTGAGCGGTAGCGTCTACACTCTCAAAGTGTCGGACATGTCCGACGACGGGGTTTCTCTGAGTCTTGATAGAAAGTCGGAGAGACTGTATTAAAATCCTTTTGTGTTTGACTTTTATCGGGATGATCTCATTCCAACGGAACTGGTCATCTTACCCCTGATGTGTACCAAGGAACCTCCCGTCAACGCAAAGGGCGTCGAGATTGCCGGTTTGATACTGCAATTGTTGAGCGACAAACATCATCGAGACGCCATAGACGATCCCCGTAATACCACGCGTCAATTTCTAGACGCCATCGAAGACTCGATTTTACGGAAACATCACAGGTACGAACGTGTGGGATTCTTCAACTTCAGGCCATGTGACGGGAAAGGACAGTACTTGCTCTATGGGTCACATATGACGCAGAAAATGGATGGCCGATATTTGATCGACAAGATTGATCAACGTATATTACTAGAGTAGACTCTCTTTCCCAATGATAGCGGGCTCTCAGCATCCATCCTTTGCAAGGGAACCATGTGTATAATTGTATCGGCCGAATCTCAGCCTTCTAGAGTAGAAATCTTTTCCTCGACTAGCAGCTAGGGACTTCTCGAGATCATGGTCTATTATCTGAACCATTCACTTCTTATCAAAGCCATCGATGGGTAGACTTGAACAGAGGCCTACTTGCTTGAGTCTGTCTGCCTCGTCCCGATTGCTCAGGATGAGTCGGCACCCACAGACAACTGAGTTGAATCACAATGGCGATTAAGGGGCTTTCTGATACTCCTAAGTCCGACCCACTCCCCCTTCCTTCCTCGACTGCCCGACCTTACATTCAATGACACTGGCCGACGAGTCCCTCGGGTAAGCAAGCATTCTTCACGTGGCTCCGACGATGACTTGTCAGATCTTCCAACTCTCGCAGCCTACGAACTTAGAGAGAGGGCGGCCTTCTTGAACCTATGGACGAAGACTCATGAGTAATTTCTAGGAAGAAGTATCATTAAAGGCTAGGTAGAGACCTTGGTCAAGGTATGACACACACACAACAAAAGTGATAATTCTATAAAGTCTAAAAAGAGGATAAGATATATAAAGGCGTATCAAGAAAAATACACCTATATTAGGATAATGATGATGATGGCGGTGATAAGGATGTGAGGGTTGATAATGATGCTGAAGTGGTTGATAATACCCCAATCGAAACTCCCCCTTTTCGATTGACCCCTTTCCTCCCTTCCATCCTTCCCCCCCTTGTGACAGAACCCAGCAAAAAGTAAACAAGATTCTAACAAAGGAGATCCTTCTTTCGTCCCCTTTTATTTCATCCACTGAAGCAGTCTCCATCCCGCCCAACCCCCAGTCTTTCACCCGGGTTCTAGCGGAATACTGCCATAAGAAATGCTGCTGTTTCCTCTCTCATCCGACGACCAACACCACCCCTTCTCATCCTCTCCCTTGATCTAAAATTCCCCAATGCAAGGTAAGAAAGTAGGTTTCCTCATCTCTGGGCGTAATCGGGCATAATACAATAACGGGGCGTGATAAACAATGATGATGAAAGACGCAAACAAGAACACACTAAAACCAATAATGATATGGTCAAAACTTTGGAACTACCAACATGCCCCAAAAAGCGTTTGATCGATGGTCGTGACCACCCATTCGAGAGCTGCAAAACGGTTTCCCCCCCCGAAAACCGTCCGCAAGGAAGAGATGACGATTGTAAGAAAGGGACAAGAAACCCGTCAACTCAAGTGAGTGAGAGAGCGAGAGAAAAGAACAGAGTACAAAGAGTGCAGAAGGCGCAGACGAAATCTGGCTTCACTTCACCCCCTTCCACTTCCGTCCAACTCTCCCCACAACACAAACACACAAGTCTCCAGATCCCTCCATCCCCTCTTTGGAAGTCTCTCCCCATTACCGAAACGGTTTCGGATAGAAATAGTGGCGCAAAACTCATAGAACGAGAGGAAAACAGAGCCATCGGAAATTTGCAAGGGCAAAAGCTATTGGGGGATGTGCCGACGTGCTTGTCCCGCTTTACAGAGCCAAAACGGCAACGAAACCAGCAACGAGAGCAACGCCAGCAGCAGCGACGTTCTTCTCGGCACCGGCGACGACAACGGTGGAAGGCTTGGCGCCGCCGCTGCCGCCTGCGCCGCCCGCGGCGGTGCTGGAGCCGGTCTGGCTGGGGGTGGCGGCACCGCCAGACGCACCACCGGCACCACCAGCACCGCCGGAACCACCGCCGGAACCACCACCAGCACCGCCAGAGGCAGCGGGAGGGCAGTCGGGGCTACCGGGGCAAACGAGGCCGGCACTGCCGGTCTGAGCGGGGGGCAGGATGGAGCCCGAGGCACCGGGAGGGCAGTAGGGGCTGCCGGGGCAGGTGATGAGGCCGGTCTGGGTGGGGACGGCGGGGGGCACGTCGCCGGTGCCGGTTTGAGCAGGAGGGTTGGGGACGACGTAGCCGGTTGGGTGTTGGCACTCGGAGCACTGGTTGGTGGTCTGGTATTTCGGGGGGTGTTTGTGTTAGTCTATGGTTCCCTAGCTAAAGAGTTGAGGGGGGCGGGAGACTGGGGAGAGAGAGGAAGGAGAGAAAAGAGAAAACAACTCACGTAGGTCTGGGTGCAGGGGCAGTCGGGGATGATGAAGGTGGTGGGCTGCTCAATGGTGTAGGTGCGGTTGTTGAAGCAGAGGGTGGTGGGCTGAGGGCAGTAGGTCGTGACGGCGTCCCAAACTTTGGTGATGGTGAAGGTGCCGTTGGTGTAGACGTGCTCGTAGGCCGAGGCCGTGCCGGCGACGAGGGCGAGGGAGACGAGGGCGGACTGGATCTGCATCTTGACTGTTGGTTGGTGTAAAGTGTGTGGGTGTTTGGTGAGTTGGTCTTGTTGTTTGATTGTTATCGAGGTATCGAGTTACTTGCAGAGCGAGAGAGTGTGTGAGGATTGTCCAGAGAGCAACAGAGCTGGTTAATGATTGTTTGAGTTTTTGGTTATTTTGGTTAAGGAGAGTGAGTTGCAATGTTTCGATTGTGATGTTTCAAGAGAGTGACTGAGGCCAATTAAAGCAATAAAACGAAAGGGGGGGAACCTCCGAACAAACGAAAGAGTTCTAGTCCTGTGGGATAATATGTGAGAAGTGTGTGTGTGTGTGTGTGAGATGGAAAAGAAGAAGAAGGGTGACACAAGAAACGGTTCAAGAGCCTCCTTCTTATGTCAATCTCATACCGATACAAACAACACACCAAACCACACACATACACACATACAGACATGAAGATATCCACCGGCACGGCACGCTCAGGGGTCGGCGATACCTAGAGAAGCTGACGAAAAGGCTTAGCCTGCAGACGAGGAAAGGGAGAGAAAATGCTAAGCCGGGAACCAACAAAAAAGGTCTCAGGAACACGACGACTCTCACTGACAGGAACAAAAGGAGACTTCCTCTGGAACACGGCAAGATTAGATGGCTGTGCCTTTTTGGTCGTTCAAGACCAATGAGAGGCTCCGGACTCGCGGCCGGGAATGCTGGTGGAGTCGTCCCGGGCCCGTGTTTGTTGTGGTCCGTCGACTTGCCAAGAATGTTTCCACCGGGCGCCGGTAATGTGGCGCATTCCAACCGTTCAGGTCCAGATGGGAAGAAGTCGGCAAAGACGGAAACTAGGGCAGGTAGATAGATGGGATGAAATGGACAAACACGTGGAAGAAGGGACTAGGAGTAAACACACCTTCCTGTCTAGACTGTGCACTTCCTCTCATCCTATTTTGAGCACTGCGAATTTCATCATTGAAGCATTCCTACTACCCGGGGGGGCGGGGACATGAGCATGGCAAGGATTCGTGGTACCACTTTCATTTGCTTTCCTTTCATTCGGAGGCGAGTTGGAAGGTCGAGCGTTGTGCGCCCCCACTCGGTTCGCGGAGCTCTGAGATATGTACAGTTGGGTCAGAATTGTTCCTCGACCGCTCGTCTCCCTTTTTGTCCTTCCCCCTTATCCCATAGCAAGTTACTCGCTTCGTGATGTCCACACGACATCCACTTCCGGCATGCCAACTGGCAGCGGAATCGCCCTCGTCCTCCACTCTGTGACGAACAAAATCGTTCATCCGTCGCCGTAAGCTCGTCTCGGGGGTCGTGGTTGAGACTGCGCTCTTTCATGCCGTCCTTCTATGATCGTCCGCCCCACCCAGCCAGTTATGATTGAAACAAAATGAGAAATTAGAAGAGAAAAAAAAACAAAAAAACGAGAGAATCAAAAAAGCCGAGTCCGCATGTGATGATGACAACGTGGTCATGTACAGACGGATTCAGTTTCGCCGACTCATGGGGTCTCCCTCTAAGAATAGTTCCATCCCCAACGCCTTCATTTCCAAAATAATCCAGATGGCGGCCAAGATCAGCCCTGGTCGGGGGCCCCTCTGTTGTGAAAACTGAAAGATCTTGCCCACCGCCCGTTAATGAATCAAAGACCATCCACCACGTATGCACAAGATTATGGTTCGAGGAAGTGCCGAGAATTGCCAAACGGCCTGCGTGTACCAGCATCGTTGAAGTCGATCCTAGGAACGCGATCGGTCTTGTTGTGACGAGATTGTGCAAAAAAAAAAATATGCTGTCTCGTATTGAGTTTGGGGGGAAGAGTTGCGTAATATCAAAAAAAATTTGTTCATTTGCGGTTCGATCGGCTCGTGCTTCGCTCCAAGCCGCGGCCGCCGCCAGTGACTGAGTCGAAATCGTAGTTCTTCAGGGTGTGCTCATACTTGGGGCTTCTCAGGAATTTGGGAACGGAGTCCTGGAAAGTCAAGTCAGGTTAGCATGAAAGATTTCGACATTCCACAATTATCGGTGGGAACAATAAACATACGCTTGCCATCAGTTTAAAAACTGCGTTCTGAGCATCCTCGAACAAGGACATGACTTCCTGCAGCGTGTCGATCATGGCTACATCTTGTCCGACAGCCTTGGTCATTCGGGTCGCCAAGTTGTTGCGAAGCTGATGATCAATGTTCAACTCGCAGGGAGAGCCGGGGGCGAGGAATGCGTTATAAATCCCGTACGCCTGGGCCATGATCTCCTTGATGCCGTCCATTGAGCTCGCGTTGGGGTTCTTCTGCGCGACACGAATCGCCTGTCGGCAGCTCCGAACAAAGTCGTCGACGTCCAGGTAAAAGGAAAGATTCTCTTCGCAATGTGTTTCGCGCAGGTTTTCTCTGAACAGCAGGCGAAGGGCTGCGTCGTTGAGGATCTTGTCCAAGCGTTGGGTGTTGGAGTCTCGCGCGATAGCGTTGCGAGAGGGTGTGACGACCTCGCTTTCTGACGTTCTTCCCCGCGAACCGAGACCGTTGATCAGATCCTTGCCCTTTGCCGTCAATTGGTAAATGGCATGCTTAGTGGGCTGGAACAGGTTGTTGCTGGGATATTGTGCCATATGAGCACGGTCTTGTACCACAGGCTCCATCAAGTCGTACTCCACGAACAGGGACGCGATGTCGTACGTCTCCCGCCTGTCGACGGTTGTGCAGCAGTCCATCAACCAATCAGTGGCGGCCTTGCCAGTAAAAGTATCTTTGTACGTCTTGCCGTTCACCTTACGCTCGCTAGCCATCTTCACACCAGTCAAGCCATCCTTGTAGTCGCTAAGTGAGTCTGAATCGGCTGAGCTGACGCTCGACTTGACGTTGGGGCCGTGTGTTCCAATGAATCTCCTGAAAATGACCTCAATCGTGCCGCGATCCGTGATGAGCTTGTCCGTCTGGCCGTCCCGCTCGAGAATGACCAGTTGCGACAGGGTCGCGCCGACCAAGTCAGATATCGACTTTTGTTGGATACCATTGCGTGAGCAGAAGCGATCCAACACGGTCACGCCCTTGGGCGTCAATTGCCACACGGAACCCTTCATGTTGTACACCTGCTGGTACTTTCCGTCGGCCGACTCGATAAATCTCGCTTCGAGGAACTTTTGGCAGATGGAGCGTGCCATGTCCTTAGCCATGGAGAAGGTCGTCGTTGTGGTCGTCGTGACTATCCTAGAGGGGTCTTTGGGGTCGGGCATACGGTTGGATTGGGAAAACTTGAGGGATCCCAGGTTGTTGATCGCATCTTCGGACAAGAACGTGTTTTCCACACGTGTTAAGCGTACTCGGTGTGCGGACAAAGGCAAAAGGCTGACAATCAGTGTTGAGTAGAGATCCTTGAAGTCCTGTCATTGTTCCACGTTAGCCATCTCTGAATCGCGGGGTTCGATCGAAGCGACTGGGAATGCGACCGTCACTGGATGCGCGATTCTCGCCGAGTAGATCAGAATTGAGACAAATCAACTGACCTTTGTGAATGGCCGGTCGTCATCCGTCATACGGAGAAGCCGCGAGGAGGTTTGGTGCATTTTGCTTTCAATACTCGGCAATCGAATGGGAAGGGGCCTGGTCGGATCGGTCTCGCTATATGGCTGAGAGGGGATATCCTGTACCAGCGACACCTGGCTTGGATACTTGCCCTCTATGTTGTTCAGGGTGCTGCTGGAAGAGGACGAGTAATTGGAGGGGCTCGTATATCGTGGGTATTTGTCTTGAGAGCCCAGATTGGCAGAGTAGTCGGAGACAGAGTCGGGGGTCAAAGAGGCGCGGCCCAATACGGAACTGGAGGCGCGCTGGCGGACAGACTGGTCCGAGGAGAAGGTAGCGAGTGCAGATTGGGTCTTGTCAAAGGCGGCAGCAGCAAAGCCGAAAATACCACCAGACCGCTGAAGTTTGTAGAGAGAACTGGTAGAAGGCGAGTGGTGATGAGAGCGATAATTCGGACGGTTCACCGAGGGGGCCTGTTGTTGTTGGTGGTGTTGTTGAGCGTGGTAGGGATCGGTCGATGATGATGTAGTGGTGGTGGCAGTGGTAGTTGCAGTAGAAGGAGGAGGAGTGCTGGAAGTGGTAGTGGTGGTGGTAGTAGCGGTGGATCGTGGATTAGCACTGGTAGGGTTGGGGTTGGCTTTGTGTGTGAGAGGTTGAGAGCTGGCCTCGTTTGACAATGGCTCGTGGTTCGGAGGTCGGGATGTCTTGGAGACAGCGGCCATCTAATGGGAAGAAGAGGGTTAGAAGAGGCGCGGACGGCAAGACGGGTGTTCAAATAAAAGGCACGGCGCAGAAAATGGAGAGGAAAAAAAAAAAAGAAGAGAAAGCGGGTGGTTTGGTGAGGCAGGGCGTGAAGGAGGAGAGGAGAGGAGGTGTGTGGTAGTGGTCATGGTGGAGGAGAAGGAGAATAAGGGACAAGGGCTGCGAATGGAGCGAGAGGGAAAAAAAAGGTACTTGGCCGAGACGAGGTACAGTACGGAGTACACAGGCCTCAAGGGGCTGATGTACATGTAGACGGCGGAACCCTGTAAGTAAAAGATACAAGGGGGGCAGGCTAGTGGGAGTGGGAAGAGCGTGGGAGTGAGACTTCTGACTGACAAGGGGAGTTGGGGGGGAGTGCAAGTGCAAGTGGGAGGAGGGAAAGGTACGGGAGTACTTGGGAACTTTGCTTGACCTGACGCTTCCACGCTACCGCTACAGCGAGCTGAGAGCGGGCGGTAGGCGGGCAGAACTAAGGCAATGGGAGTCAGGGCCAGCAAGAGAGCAGAGCCCAGTACTCCCGTAAGTTGATTGAACCACCACCTCTGGCACAACTGAGTGGATGGAGACGGGAGTAGGGATAGTGTAATCAGAGCAGAGGGGAAAGGGAAGAGAAAGGGAGATGGATGGGATGCCGCTGATGAGCGAGAACCAAAAACGAGATAATGGGGTTCGACAGGCAGTCATTCCAGGTAAGGTAGATAGGTACACTCCAGGACGAGAGAGCGAACGAGACGAGATGATGTCGGACGTCGCGAACAAGGCTCTCTCTCTTCTCTCTTTCCACGCCACACTTTGTCTTTGCTCACCTGCTGCTAGGTAGGGGGGACCACGGGAAACAGGCTGATTTACAAAAATAAAGGGGGGGTGTTTTCCTCCCAAGGACCACAGGAGAAGAGGTAATTCGCACTAGGTATAGGGTAGGTTGTAATGTACTCGGATGGCAATGGTTCAAAAAGATTGGATAGAGAAAGGGAATGGGAAAAAAAGAACTGGACGCTGGCATACGAGCAAGCCGAGACTTGGAAGGACGAGACGATGACTGGGAAGAACGTGGATGGGGAGATTTGAGAAATGCGGGCTACGGATATGACCGTCGTGCCTGTGCGCCGGGCAGGGTAATAGGTAAGGTAAGGTACTGACTTGACTTGAAGCTGAGATACGATGATCCAACAGTTCAATGTTTCTTTTTTTTTTTTTTTGCCAAAAGTCCAGGCGTGACGTGATAGTCAAAGCTATTCGTCTCTGGGATGGCACCGGCGGCCTGGGCTTGGAAGGATTCTGTCTGCAGATTTCCTCACACCGCGCTTGGTGACATGTGTGTTATGTGTGCCAGTGTGGTGGAACGGACGGGCGGCGCGGGCGGGCGCGGACGACGGATGACTGGCGACGGTGATGTGCGAAAGGGCGACGGCGGCGATGAACAACCGAGGCGAGCAGGAGCAGGCGACGGCTCTTCAGAACGAAGGCCGACGAAATGGTGAACGATGCGGATGATGCGCTGCGTACGGAGTATGTGTGTGTGCGCGTGTGTGAGATGAGACGGGAATAAGAGGTTGTAACAGATTGCAGTAAGCCCGCCCAGCCTAGCATCCAATCCTAAGCACCTTTCACAGTACCGTACCGCAGAGAGGAGCACGAGGGATTGGGATTGGTGTATGGATAGTGACAAGTTAAGCGTGGTGGCTGACGCCGGGATGGAGTAGATGGGAAACGAGGGCGTTGGTCTGGCGGATGCCCTTCTCCTTTTTTTCCCAGGTTCGAGGTTTTACGGAGTGGCCAAGGTCAAGGTATAGTAGGTAAGGCAAGGTATGGTAAGGCCAGCCAATGTATCCGTAGTATAGGTAGTCGGTATCCGTAGTTCCAGGTCCAAGGTGTGAGGTCTGAGGTGTGGACGGTAAGGTCAGGCCCGGGGTGGAAAGGGGACTGTATCCGTGGTGTAGGAAAGGAGACGACGCGGGAAGAGCGAGACTTGAGACCGAGGCTCAGCAACGTGAGACTTGACGGTTCCCCCCTTCTCTTTGGTTTTAGGGGTTTGCGCTTGGCTGGCGTGCGCCGTGGTGTGTGAATGGGGGGAAATTTTCAGAAAGAAAAGCGATGCGCCTTTGGAATAGCGAGGTATGGAAATGTGCTGGTGGTAAGAGGCTAGAGCAGGATCGGAATAGGGTCCTGTTTGATATTTTGCGAACTATGCCGCCCCCGTACGATATAGTAGCATTGGTAGTTCGATTAGACTGAAAATTGGCTTGCGGGTTGGGTGAACTAATTTTCCCCCCTCTCTCTCATTCCTGGGTTTCTCTCTCGTGGTTCTGCATGAGAAGAGGTACCCCCTTCTCGTAGGATTCGGGAAAGGTAAACCGAAAAAGAAGAAAAATAAAAATCAAAACGGGAAAAATGAAAATAAAACCGGGGTGTGGACTCGTGGAGGCAATTTTGGCGTTTGACTGATGGATCGATGGATTGATCTAGAGTCCCAAGGTACGGGAGACTAGCAGGGCTAGCTGGATGGAGATTTGGGTCGAGAGTTGAGTTTCCCCCCCTTGATCGGAACTTGTCCAGCACGAGGGTCCCACGACAGGCGAAGAAGAGTGGACGAAACGTGAAGAATCTACGAGACTAAGAAACCCCAGGACAAAAAGTCAACCAGGCCGGCGCGGGTTCCAAACATGGACCAGGGGCAAGGGAAAAGGGAAGCCAGCGAGACCGATCTTTTTAGGGGCGAACGAGAGCAGCTGACGGGTGAGAGAAGTAGGGAATGATGTGCAGGACGGAATAGGAATAAGAACAGGAACGGGACCAGGAGGAGCAGGAGGTAAAGTAAAGCAGAGTATCCGTAGAGTTCGGGGGGGGGGGGGATCCATCCAACGTGTTTTATTCTTATGTTGCCTACGCTCTTTCACACTTGTCGTACTCATAGTCTCGTTCTCTGATACCATCTACCTTGAGGTGTCCTTACTCCGTACTGTGAAGGGTGGGCCTGGAATGGACTGTCTGTCTGCATTTCTCATTCGGTAGCATGCAAGGCAGGCATTCGTCCACGCACCAGAAGACGGGAGCTATGCCGTGTGGCCAGCCATGCCGCAACCCCTTCATGGATGAATAGAGCTGCTTGCCACGAGGCAGATTAATAATGGTGGTGCCGCTGCATGTCCCTCCGTGGCCGTCGCTGACCGGCCGCCGTCCACCGTCCGCTATCCACTGTCTGTAAGGTACCTTTTTGTTTTTAACCCGATGATGAGCCCATTACATGCATCCGTGGCTTCGTGGTGTGAGATTGTTTATGTAAGTCGTTTCCGAAGTTCTAGAACCGGTGCCTATCTGATTTCCCTTGCCTTCTCCTTTGCCCATTCGGAAAAAAAGGCTTTCCCTAACGGTTGACGATGTGGGCCTATGGAATGTCGTGATTGTATCCGTATTGTACTTTTATATCCGTACTAAGGGCTCTGTATCCGTATCGCACCGTTCAGACCTCAGATTGGATAGAGGAGGAAACTGCCACCTGCCGTTAGTCCAGGTCTTGGTTGAGAGAAATCCACCACCAAACAAGTCCCCGCTGGACGGCGGCCCATTGCAGTGGGAAAAAAAAAAAAAAAAAAAAGGTGTCGTGTGTGGACCCTCTGGCCTGGATCCCCAATGGAAGGTCCCCATTCCAGCGCACTCCCCCCTCTTGAGAGCACACATGGCCGTTCAGAAGTAGGTTGTAGGTGATGGAACCCCCCTCCACTCCGTTGCTCCTTCTTCACCCCTCACCATCCGGGACGGAGTGACGGAGGCCAGCGGGGAGTGAGAGACAACTCTCTCATATGAGAGCTCCTCTCATCCTCTCATCTCGAAAGACATACCTCTTTCACTCACATTCATCCACTCACTCACTCACACTCACACTCACACTCACACTCACACTCACAGCCATCAATACCCTACCCAATCAACGTCGCATTCCAAACTGAACCGCCGCACATGCGAGCAATGAAGCATCCATCCATCCATCCATCCATCCAAATAGGCCACACTTCAAAAGTTGTATACCTTACCCTTGCTCAACACCACACCCCCAATTTTCCTCAACTCAACGCCCAGGGGGGGGGGGGGGGGGGGGGCTCCTCACTCTGGCTGCCATGTGCCCTGCCTGCGCCTTCGCCATGAGGCACGGCGCCTCCCACTCCATCACTCCTCACTCAATCACACCTCACCCTACCCAAAGGTGTGCCGCTGGCTGGCTACCTTACCCCAGCACGCCTTACGCAGCATGTCGTAGGGATATCATATCTCGCCGCGCGCCGCACCTTCGCCTTATTGCAGAACTCCCGGCTGTGCGCCGCCGCACGCCGTATTGCCTCCGTTCCCCTCCCCTCCCCTTACCCTTACCCTTACCTTTAACCCTTTATCCCCGAGCGGTTTCCCTGGTTCGATGCCGTAGGTATTCATCGGGACCATTCCCTCTTTCCCTAGAATAGGCTCCTTGTCACCCTGGCTAAAAGCCTGGCTGCATATGTGTGTGTGACCGAGGCCACTCATCCTTACCTCATCTTTTTGAATGAGAGAAGAAAAAAAGAAAAAAAAAAGCTCCCTTGTGATATCAATGGAGTTGAGATATGCGGTGTGCTGAGATTCGCGGCCATCGGGGGAAGTCAAGGGGGGAAGGCTGTCCGGGCCCCATGGCATGGCTATGTCCCATATTGGGGGTGGTGGGCAAGGGGAGAAGAGGGGGGGGCCGTATTCAAGGTGTGGAAAAAAGGTGAGAGGGTCATGAATGGACGACGGCGGTAGGGATTATCATGTGCTCCCACCCCCTCCCTCCTCCCCTCCTCCTTGTGGTGGGTAGGGAACAGGGAGCCATGCAGGTCTTCCTCAACCCATCGCGCCTAGCTCCATCAAAAGCCGTTGCCTACAGTGTGAACCGGGAGAGGAATGGTGCAAAGACACGATTTTGAACAGCCGCGAGCTCTATTTATTTTTCTATTGCCGTCCGGCAAGTCTGGCTGTGCTGTGTGGTTGGTTTCTATTTCTTGTTCAACAACCGATCGTTGCTCTAGGGCCGGGAACTATGAAGAAGAATTTCAAGAGAGAAAGAGACAACAAGTCGCCGGCCCGCGGTGTATACTACCGGAAATGGTTTAACTTGGTAATATGGACATGATCCCCGAAAAGATACGACAACCTCGCGAGACCTTGGACCCTAGCGAAAGCTTTTGCGTTTGACAGAAAGATGCCATGTGGTCAATGTGATACGGACATTCCGCTGGTCTTGTCGGGCCAAGTGGATCACGAGCTCCCGAAGCCGTTCGAAAATAAAAAGCTGCGGCCGTGTGGTGGTGCACCGACATCACATCAGCAATTATCAATCGTTGCTAGCAAAGAACCAGAACCCATCTGCCTGGTTCGGCGCCGTCGTTTCTCCCTTGACATTATCCACTTCGCTTTCCCGAAGGCTCGCTTGTTTCTGGTGACAGTTAGTGGCTCGTGTTGATATTGACTTGCCTCCTTTTTGTTTTTGTCTTTTCTATGATACGAATATAGATGCACAGAGTCATGAACCTTCGGGATCCGACAATTTTGCTCTCTCTCTTCTTTATCAATCTTTCTGCCCACTGACATGTTGTCATGTAAGTCTGAGTTCGTTCCCCCCCCCCCCCCCCCCGTCTTCCGATATCGACTTCCGATATTCGATTCGGAAGACGGACGCATGGCCGAGATATCAAAAGGGTACGCAATGACCCGTCCGTCAAACTCTCTCTCTCCGTTCAAGGAACGACGTTGCCCCCTTCCTAACCTTTTTGGTTATTTTTTCTTTTTTTTTTCCCCTTCCGCCCGTTTGTACCAATCCTACTCCAGCAAGAACCAGGAACAGAGAACCTACCTACCTAGTTTCGTAGGCCACGGCTGGGTGCCGTTTGATCGGATGCGACGGGCAGAACATCTGCCATGTCATTACATCCGGCCGCGCCTAAGTGCGCTGAGGTTGCCATGCATACATACCTCCCCTCGCTCCCTCATGCGCCCACCCCAACCCCCAAAGGCAAGACAACAACAAAAAAGGCAGACATACCTCGCAGGTACGGCGTTACAGAGCGTTTCGCAACCTATCGAGCCCTACCAATCGAACTCTACGGATACTCCCTCTCTCCCAATGACTGGATAGTCTTGGCATAGCATAGTCTGATAAG